AGCGCAATTTAAGACAAGGGTTTCGAAACAGTTATAAGACCAGGTATTGCTTAAATCGATGTGACATTTTTAAAAAGGATGAAGGCATGGAATCATTTAGAGAGCTACCAGAAAAATGATTGGTGCTTGAGTTCTAACGCATTTTATATCACCGAAAACCGGTCACTAGTGCATAGTTCCATTGATTTCTGATCATTGTTAGTATAAATAGTCTGAACTCCCAAATCACTTCTGTAAAGATGAGAATTTTCTGCACTAAAACTGTTTTAACTACAAGTAAAACCGTAAAATGGGAAAAAAATAATTTCTTCCTGCTTAGTTTTTTGGAACTTTTAGTAAAGAGCAATATATTCAATACTTGGTCTCAGTATTTTGAATACAAAATCATCCTCGGCTTCCCACCAAAGGCTCTAAAAGTGGTTCATTTCTTCACTTTAATCATTTCCAACCAAAAACCGAAGTTCTTTTCCAAAATGAGGTCTCTACTCCTAATTTCGTATATTTTAAAATGCCAAAAAGTAGATGTTAAGCCACGATTTCCAACCTTCATTGGACCTAACTTGAAACATGTTTTTCATTTTTTTTTCCTGACAAAATATTCGAATCCGATGTACCTACAAACCGAAAATTCAATTCGGTGTCAATATCAGTTACTCAGGCATTAACTCTCGAATAACTACTTCTGTATGAGTATAGCCACCAAATATTTCGGTACGCATTGAAAAATTTTGACCTTCATGTGATGAAAGGTGTTATTTTTATGCAAATACCGTTAAGCGCAAGCATGACCATGAATGTTAAATTCAGCTCCTCTAACAGGCGACAGAAACTTGTGTAAATACGTTTTGGTTAATTGAGTACGTCCATGAATTACAAGAGATTCGCTTACCCTCCCGAAAGTATTTCTAATCAAGCATTCGATCAAAGAGATCAGAAATACTAGTAAGGAAGGAAACTCGTCCAGTATCGCATTAATCTAAGTTGTTTTTTAAACGGCCCTCACATAAAGCTGCAAAACAGCGCGTTTCGCAAGATGGAAGTCCTTTAATCAAAGCGCAATATCTAGACTGGGATATCAGATGAATGTTCACTACATTTGGCTATTTAATTACCATCCTTTTAAAGGGCAAGTGATGACGTCTGTTAGCCAGTAGTTGTAATCCTTCCTCAGGATCCTTACTTAGGATTACGAAGGAGGTACGACGAGATACCGAATCGTCGAGTGTTTCTAATTGCATCTTGCAGGAAATGATTTTGTGTTACCCGATAATGATCGACCTTTTTACACCTTTGACTAAGAACACTGATTGGGGAGGTACATTTCAGGGTTACATTTTTCAATAAAAAGCAAAAAGGTGTGAAACATTCCAATCTAATGCTGGGTGCAGTTAAGACCAGGAGCTGAAGTCCAATCCTGAATCCAAGACAGAGTTGCAGCTTTTTCGCTGGTGTAGAGTTGAAAAACATAGCAAATCAGCATATTAGCCAAAATACGATGACTGCCAGAGTTCACACCGTTTCCCAGAGATTAATTTTCGAGGTCTGTGGTGAATCGCGACAATCCACGTCCATCAGCTCAGACAGTCTGCCCCATGTCGCATTGATGCCCGCGTCCATGCACCCCTGTGCAAACGCACGCCTGCCACTGTGACCGCACATATTATCAATCAAATGCCTGAACAGTTGTTGGTTCATGTGTATTCCATTTGCTGACAGCCTTCATCACTCATGTTTCTCCTGTGCACATATGGGACATGTGAGCAAACACGATTTTTATGTACTACGGCTTGGCAAACACAGCATGGTTAGGCAATCAAATAACTAATGGTGTCTCAGTCGTCTCCGGTTTTCCTAGGTACCAGATTTGTGTAATCGGACCGGCGTGATTCGAGGCCAACAATGCGAAATTGAGAATGGTGAATATGACGTGATCATCTAATCCGAATCAAGAGCTTCCGTTTTGAGGCATCATTGCATCGAGAATTAAAATTGTAAATAAGCGACATTGGAGTTATTTGTTGCGGTAGTTGTGGGCCCCAGCATGTGGTCTTGAACCACGCCGATGCCACGGAATCAACCCTGGCCCGATTACGCTTGCCTGATACCCGCGATGAAGAAAAAGACCGGAGAAAACGTGTGTAGAACCGTTTACTTTAGAGCCCAACCACCTTGGTGTCGTTGTGTCGTGGGTGGCACTTGCGTGTGTATTTATACCTCAAATGCGTGAGTCTTACATGCGCTAACATCGAGACCTAGGTCTGAGGATAATCCGAGATAAATATCCGTGTGAATGAGGGGGGAGTTGAAGATCCGCGTGGCTGGCGACATGCTGAGAAAAGAGGACCCTTGTGTCGGAGGTGGAGCTACCGGATTAAGGGGTGTGAATAAACACGATTCACGACACGGTAATGGAATCCACAGGCTCATTCACGGGAATGTCATTTTACCCATGACTTGGTAAAAATATCCCGTCGTTGCACTTAGCTGGTTTATGGGAAATGTGAAAGCAATCAGTCTGTGAGCAAGGAAAATTTATTACCAATGAATTTTGTAAGCACGATGATGTGGGTTCAATAAAATTCGCCCACATTTTCGTATAGTACAACAGGCTAATTATACTGGACGCACGGAATGACAACATTTCCGTCCATATTTGAAAAGAAACGGGTTTTTTTAGATATCTGGAGGTACTCTAAGTGCCGGAAACAGGTTTTAGATGGCTGAATAAGTTCATATTGACGTCATCACACTAGTTAATTATAAACAGACGTGTGATAAATGGTATGGCCCGCTAGAGAGAGGACGACGCACGATTTGTAAAGAAAAATCGCACTAAATCAGAGCTTTTTTTACCCCGAATCCTCGAAACCTGATAGCTTACTGGTTAGACAGCTTTATGATAGCGGTTTAGGTAGACACCCCGCATCTGATAACGGCCATTTTGCAGAATCAAAACAAAGCGAATAAAGGCAAAATGGAGGAAATTTTAAGTCAGTAATAGTAGCAAGGTACAAAAAATAGATTTTTGATCGATTCGTAGTCTGCTCGTAGGTATGCTGGGTGAGCAGGAATGCACCACTACGCACTATCGAAGACTTACTTCAAAATACGGAATTTTAAAGGAAAGAGACACAAAAGAAGTCGGTCATTGTGTTTCGAAATAGTGTCTGTCCTCATTCAATTCGTCGATACTTTCAAAGGCTGTCTATGTGTGATCGTGTATTATCGTCCCAAACGCCCCCACCCCGATTCAGATGGATGCAGGAGGATTTAAGGGGAAATGAGTTATCGCATGAGGGCGGTCGTGGAAGCCAATCACCAAGTGGCTGACGCATGGCAGGCAACGAAGAAGAAACGAAATAACTTACCGTCAAGGGGACTAGTAAAACACGTGCGATTAAATTAAAGGAAGCATGCTATCGTCGTGGGTGTGCTTATACGTTTTGAAATTGACAGTAACAAAGTCAGCTGTGTAGCATCATACGCCTTAAGTTGTGCTGGAGTTTAATTATAAGGCGAGGCAAAGAGACTCGGATTCCAGCTCGCGGATAGAATGCTTGTTCGCAAAACGCTAACAATTTCGTGCAAACAAATGACAGTCATTTTAAAACATTCACCACAGCAGCAATTTTTATGTCTCCTTCTAGAAATGTGCAAAATATTGCATGCTCTGTGAAACTTCCATCACCCCAACAAACAGGTCATACACTTGTTAAGCAGCCGTGTCTCAGATGTTGCTGTCCACTTTAAGGTGAAAATCGCTTTTGTGTTTACAAATCTTTTTTAGATGCATAGTGCGAGCTTTGAACTCCTCCAGAATACGAATAAGTGTCTTCGATTAAAGCATAATTTCAACGTTCACCCAATTTCCTTTCAAGTGCGAGCTAAACGAAGTCAATGAAAATGGCGATAATATGCTTCGAGCCCCTGAATACACGCGATCGCCTGCGATGGCTATTTCCTGGTGCAATAGAGCCATTTTCCGGGGCGAACAGTACAAGCGAATTTCACCTAGTACACTGCAAATTCATGGCCCCTTGGTTGTCGTTATTGATTAGAGCACATTACAAATTGTCGCTCCCTCAGCACCACCAGTCCCACACTTTCACAAAATTGCTTGCACACATTTGCGTAAATCTACGTCAGGCGTTTGAATAATGGTCCTTCCACAAAAGAATACGAAAAACAGCTTGTGCAATCCGGTAAATTTTGGAGAAAGCAACGCTTGATCTGCATGCTTAGACATGCAACTATGATGAAACACGGAAACGGAAATTTGTTCCACACCCTGTCGGACGCAGTTTGTCCTTCTTCGAGAGCTCTCGCGTGTTGACGTGAAGTGAAAACTCTTGACGCAAACAACATCGAGTCTGAATCATGAATCTGAACTTCATCCCATTTTCACTTAAAGACACACCACAGAAAACCCTGTGAGGCTTGTGTGCTTCGTGTCCAAACAAATGCAAGTGCAATCTAAATTTGCAAGCTCGATCGACATGTAGTACCCAAGTTTTGTTTAAACCCTTTGATAAGTACAGGTCAGTACTGTGAAATTTATAGATCGGATTGAGTAACGAAGATGACTTTCATGCTTGAGTTACGAGTTTGTGGTAGGAATGATAAAGAGGTCGATTTTTTAAACCTACAGTTACACGCAGTAGACGACGTGAGTGTACGTTTTGGAAAACCCTTCGAACCCGGCAACGGGCAAAATACACGAATGAGTACTTTACGATCACAGCTTATTATCTGTCATTGAGCCCTCTGTCTGCAAAATCTCCATTGTTGACGTGCACTGCATGATTTTAAATTTGAGAATTTCTTGTGTAAAATCCCGCACTTCCCTCCACCGGACCCAGATAAAACGGCTTATGAAGTACTTCACGTATACATGTCAACATATGAATATATTTCATCAATCATGTAGATGAAAAAGACTAGATTTATGAAGCAGTGCAAGACCAGACTAGCCCACAGAGAGAAGAATGCTCGCTGAGATCTTAATTCACGGGTTTGTGTTGCTTGTTCAGTATTGATGTTACGTCGGAGAGGACAACAGTAGAGGGTCCAACACAACCGCCAACTCCACCCCAGAGTCCCAGCATCTCAATGGGATCAAAGACGAAGCAGACGCCTGACTGGGCTTCCAGAGTGATCATGGTGGGAGGCAGGTTGGGGTTGCCGGGGGAGGCGCGGGAAACGAAGAGGCGGTTCCGGAGAGCCGTGGTGTCGAAGACACGAATGACCCTTGAGCGGTCCAACTGCTGCTGCTGTTGTTGTTGCTGGTTACCGCCGCCACCAGGTCGTACGAGGATACGCCAACTACAAAGCCGATCGGACAGGCCCGCCAACGTCCCACCGTCTGCAGACCAGGCCAGACAAACGAAACCTGAGCCACCGCAACCGGCTGCGTCGGAGGAGATCGTGGAGCGAGACGCGATCATTGAGAGGTCATCACTCCTGCAAAGTATTCGAGGCAGGAATTAGCGGAATCTCTATGTGTGAAAACCAGGCGAACTGGCTAAATAATGGACGATTGAACGCCAAACAATAAATACCGAAAAACACAATCCTAACCCAAAAAAAATTCCTTCGAGTTTGCAAAAACCTGAGAGCATATAGCCAGAAACAATAGTTGGCTACTGATGGGATCACTCAGCTGCGTCCGACTTCGAATTCGATCTCGTGTTAGGTTTGGGTCCAACAAGCAGAGACTACCGACAAACAGCAGCTCTTCACCGAAGATTTAATCTAGACAGTAAAACCGTAACATCCAACATCTCATTAGCGGTCACTATTCACAAACGATGGCAAGTACGTTACCAGAAGCAAATACGCATGGCACAAATGCTTCGCATGTCACATTCTTGTCACCAAGGCTTTCCCAACGATTGGTCAGCTTGTCAGGTAAAACGAGCTTAAGCAAGAGCTTGAAGGAGGTAAAATGCGTTTGACGAAATGAAATCGCTGACAGCATTACTAAGACCTGAATAGTTGACCGGAATTAAGCCCATGAAAAAAAAACAATTCTTAAGGGATAGCCTCAACCGCTTTTAGTTTGAGCAATCCAACAACAAAACGACGCAAAGTTGGAGAGCGTCAATTTTGCTTCGACAGGTGGGGTTGTCACTGAGCCCTGCTAGTCACGTTTTCGGTTGAAAACCGAGTCGGTAGTTGGGAGGCATCAGGACTCCGTTGGATTTAATCTCGAGCAAACGCACAATCCACCTGAACTTACAAGGTGCAACAACAAATGTCTAAATCTCACGCACACACACACACCCACGGATGCACAAAGCGTGGGCCAAAGATATAGGTGCACGAGATACCAAAGTTCCATGTGTTAAATGTGCATTAAGTTTTTTTTAGCGGCATGTAAGCGGATATGCGTGTGCGTGAACGGGCAAACTCGTAACTTACTTTGGGGCGGTGAGGCGCCAGACCCTGAGGTTGCCGTCTGCGTCGCCAGAAGCGAGGAGCATCTCAATGCCCACATCGATTGCCTTGGTGATAGGTCGGAATCTGACACAACGAACCACAGACGGTTTGTGGGAGCCCTCAAAAACCTTGCGCTCCGTCAAGAGGCACCACACCTAAAGCAAGAACGAGACTTAGCTGATTCATGATCAATTAGAGGCGTTTATAAGTTGTTGCATTCCTCTCGACGACTTGGTGGCATTAAAATGAGGCGGGCAAAATTGTGGCGTGGATGTTAGGCTTTGAAAATCCAGGTGGAAAATAGTAGCAAAATACAAAAAACTGCTGCACGATGCTTGGATTAGTTGGGTGTTCCCTGAAAGCAGTCGCCTACTAAGCACATCAATACATCGTACTACAATGTGCCAATTCTAAAGCGGCTACAATACAGTCTGAAGGACCAATGCCAAAAAACAGCATTTTTTGAGTCTAAGGACAAAAAAATCAATAAGGGAAAATTTGCAACGCGGAAATTCAAGCACCAAGAGACTTTAGAGTTGGCTACAATAGCCCCTACAAATCGTCCCACTGAAGAGTGCTTTGAACGTGTACACTACAAAAAGTGACATACCGTGGACGCCTAGCGAATGTTACCTCCTAGTAAGAATGTATAAAACTACTTTATTCTCAAATCAAGCTATGGCCAAAATTTGTGTTTAAAAACAAATACCGCCTATTTTAGAGAGAGGGAGAGACAAAAAGAAATTTAAAAATTAATTTCGCGAGAGAACATAAAACCACTCCATTGACGCAACTGATTAAAAGTTGCGTCAACTTCTAAAATTCATGACTGAATATCCGGAAGAAGTGGATTCGGCTATGGCTATAGGCGCCATCTAATAAAACGTTGGTCGTGCAAGCACGGATGTCCCAGGACTCATGTGCTTGCATCGACGTTCTTTCTGCAAGCCTGTCTAGGTAGTTACACTAATGGGCGAAAAACCATGCCACCACCACGCGGCTGTAAAAGTACAAGGAAATACTACCACTGGGGCCGGAAGTATAGCAGACCAATCGCACAGGCTACTTGTTGGTGACGAGAGGAAAAAAACTTGCGTTGAGGATGCGATGGTTGTGGCTATTTGACCCTCGACTTTGAATTTTATTGAACACAATTTACTTCAAGGATAATATTTCGGAAATGGAAATTACCTTGGCGCCAATCCACTTGTGACTCTCAACACTGAGGTAGCCAGTGGCGACGGCAGGTCTTTGATGGGAAACTTGCCGTTTAAAAGAGCGCATCAAGCCACTACATGCTTCAAACCTACCCAGCAAAACACGAGCATTCTGCTTATCTTAGCATCAATTCCTCAATGCGCACGAAAGCTCTGCAAGGAAACCGCGATTCGACCACGGGTCAATTGCTGGGGGTTTTTGCAGAAAACTCCACTTAATCGAATGCAGCGTCAGATAGTGCACCCAAATGATATCGTTGCACGGAGCAAGAAAGACTTGACGTTTAACATGCTTTTATAAAACCACGGATAGTAGCACGTGGCTGACACACTACATTCGCCTGCAAACCACAACAGAGAATCATTGCCTGCGAAGCCACTCAGTGGAAATGCTTTGATTTCGAATTTCAACAAAGGCTAGGATAACTTTTGAAGGCGTTGAGGCCTCAAGTGTAAACCGAGCTGGGAGAACAAATGAAACATTAAAGGGGGCACTGCTTCGCATTCCAGTCGAGGCCTTTATCTCGTTTTTATAAATCAAACGACTGATGGGTGAGGTCGGTGAGATATTTGGTAAATGTATGTGACGACGGGCTCTGAGTATCCAGTAATGGGAGGGAAGTAAAAAATGAAGTAGCAGAGAGCCAGAAAGGCTAATTAAGAGAACTGGGCACGTTAAGAAGGGGAGAGGAAACTTATTGGGCTCACAACTCTCTAAGACAATGTACTTCGGAGAAATAAATTTTACACAAAATGGCCCGGGATACTCATAGAAATGTCAAACTGTTGTGTTAATACACATTGTGATTCGTGTCCAAAAAGTGCAGGGCGACTCAACAAAGTTTATCATTCGGAACAGGAAGTGGAAAGTTGCCGGAAGCACTTGCGGTTATTAAAATATCCCACAAATCATCACCAAAGGACGTCGAACCCCCGCCTCTCAAATCTAAGCGTTCATTAGTGCAATTTTGATATCGGCAACACTGGCACAGAGGTCGGAAATTTGATACGTGGTTTGGGGTTTCAGTAGCCCAGATAGTAAACCTACCATTGGCTAAGCACAGAGAATTCGTGGCCAACATAGTTTCAACAGTGGCAGCTTGTATCAGCGGTTTCTTTCTAGACTAACATATTTAGCACCAAACCGTAAGCTTCGCCGAATGTCCCACGAAGAAAGCATTCACAGTCGTTTAAAACCACTTCGACATGTTTGTAAAAACAAAACCAAAAAGGGCAGCTTCATCACTGGTGTTAATTAAAAACGGATTGTCTTCATATTTCAGTCCTCTTCCGTTCGATGATCAAATGCATTAGGATGGAAGAAGCACAAGCATCGAAGAAGAAGCCGCAAACAAATCCACAACTGTTTTGCAAAGGTCACATCTTAAGACGCTAATAACATGGCATTTACAGAAGTTGCAACAGCAACGATGCCTCTCGCAAGCCTTGATAAACCATACACCAGAAAACAAATTGACAATGGAGATGTGTTGACATAAGTGTTCTGCTTTTTTTTAAGAAAGAACCCAAAAATAAACGCCGAAGTAAACATCATAGATGGCGGTGAGTTGAATTTGCGCTTCCACCGGGAATACAAGGTAGAGGGTACTGAACGACGGTTACTCCAACTAACCAGGCATCTGAAAGACGACGACCAACGCGTGTTTTAACGTTGTTTATATTCCACTAGAGTGATGTGATCAGGGAGAAATGCCAAAGAGAATCGGCAAAGCCTATGACAATGCCTGGACGAATGTGTAAGAGTATGGGCATTATAATGGAAAAGTAAACACTATCGAAAATCGAAGAGTTGTCGCTTTGGCGTCATCGTCGCTTTTGGAAGGAGGTCATCAGGGCTTGGTGACAGGAATTTCAGAACACACAGCTATTTTGACAAACCACCACGTGTAACATGCTTTATAAAAGCCCAACCACACGAATTTCACAAATGGAAAGTCCATGTCTATTAGTCCGTGAGACACACCAGAGAGCAGTGGGCAGAACAGTTTGTGCAGTTTCATACGAGAGGCGCCTACATTAACATTAACAAGTCGTAAAAACGTCATCAAGCATAAACAACTCAACAAAATGACAGCCATCGAACAGCAGTCATACAGCGATATCGAAAACACTGCCCTGCAGTCTCTGAGCCGGTGAAAGAAGACTTATTTGTACTTCCTTCAGTGCAGTGAGGAACTAACGTCACTGGGAAACAATTATGAATCTGAAAGTGTCTAAACAAATTCACTGGTTGTTAAACAACCTCGTTTGCGCTTCCATTTCGACCGCAAGTCCCTCGTTTAATAACGCCGAGCTTGAGGATTAACTGGAAGGCTTTGACAAGGTCACGACAGACACTAAACCACCAACAATCACAGCAACTTTCTTCGCTAAGCCATTCGGCACACCGCCTCACAGTCGCTAGGATCTTCATCAAGCCCAAGAAGTCTTTCGATGCAACCGCAAATCATGAACACGGCTCGACAATTTTGAAGCCGTCCAAATGAACCGTATCTGCAAAAAAGAACACTTGTTAGCTCACACGCACACACACACACACACACAAACATCTCGTTAGATGTTGTGCTTGTTCTAAACGGTATAATAAGTTTTACTATCTTTGAAGATGTACGTCTATAGACATCGTCGAGTCGCGTTTTTATCTGTCGATCTAAACTGCATCAGAGAGAGCAATAAACCAGGTATTAATATGTCTCGTTCTTAAATTCTTAAGACGCGCAGCAAACACTATCGGGTCTGTTTATTGTAAAATACCATGCAAGGCATTTAAATGAAAAACGTGAAGTGAAGAAGGGATATGCGCGATAAAGGAAATCAGTGGGACGACAAAACTGCTACATGGCTAGCAGAAATAGGCCAGGAATGCACTAAGACACGAACATTTAAATACTCTCATGACCTGGGAGAACATTAAACACGATGAACCAGTTATATTTGGGGTTCGCATTGTTCGACGTGCGTGCATACAATGCAATCGGTATTTCAAGTGATTAATGACCAAAACTGTCGTCTATATGTATATGTTTCAGAAATTCGTGAATTCTAAGTAAGAAACAACACCCAGTAACGGGCTACCTCCAGAGGAAATCGATGTTAAAGACAGCAAGAATTTGATTCAATGGCAGGACGGCCAACCACAAAAACAGACTGGAACGTGCAGGCAATCATTAAGCCACAGCTTAAGAAAGAATACCATCTGCAATCACCTGCACAAGACCACGCATGAAGAGCTTCCAACTTCTCCATGGGTACAATACCCCTTTTCAGCTCGCATCTTATAGGCCAATTCCTCATGCAAAGGTCACACACGCCCAAGAGGATAATTCCACGACGACTAGAATTCCCAGGTACTTATTCACCGAAAGTAAAACTCAGTTTTTGTTACTATGTGTGCATGAATTGGGAGGTAAATATTGTTGCTTCCTACTTTGAGGATTTTTGACGATTGTACATTTTGGGCTGACAAGCTGACACTTTAGACAATACGGTCACAGCACTAATCTCAATTACGTGCTTTCGCTTAAATTTCGTGCCACGTTGCATATTCGCGTCATTAGGCTAGAGGGGCATAAACACCACGCCTTGGGGAGTAGACCTCAATTCAGTGCCACCGCCACGAAGCCCCTTTTCGGAGCGGTAAAATTTTACGATTTGCTTTGTTCTACCGTGCATCGCATCCCCGATCGCAGATTGCCTTTAAGTGGAAACGAGATGCAGTTACGAAAGTGCTCTTGGTTGGGACTCGAATGCAACACAGAAATCGAACTAATTAGGAGATGGTTATTTTAGTTGTTGGAGCAGACAGTGTGGGATTATTATTGCGGTGGGTAGGTTACATGATGTGAAACATGATATACGTGGGTGCTAGAACCACCGGACAAGCCAGACGGGCAAAAGCAAGCATACATGGTAAAAAAGAAGTTTCTAGCCGCCCAGTCTTTAGCATTTCTAAACAACCCAGAACATAGAATTTCGAAACCAAAGTTTTGCAAAATGTACAAACCCTCTTACGGACGTTGAAAGAAAACACACAGACATAGTGTTCCGGTAAAAGTACATGTAGTTACTTCAGCTGGACAGGGAGGATTTCTGATGTACAATAACTGTTGATTTGAAAGGGATATAACAGTCACTTGTCCGTCTCGCAAAGTTGTTAGAGGGCATGAATACACAAAAGGAAATGGGCTTTTCAAAATTATGACGCATGCTCGTCAGAAGGGGAATGGAATGAAGCAGATGAGGTGACACAATAAAGCACTCGAATGAAGGTAATTAAAGTACTCAAACAGTCAATGCGGCCGTGGGCTTCACACCAATGAGTGCAGTGATGTGCTTTGTCACTTCTAACAACATTTACTGCAAGACTTTACCCACCCCATGTCACTTCTCGTCTTGGAGGGTGCTGGCCTTACTGCGTGTGACAGCACAGCTTTGAGCAGAGTGGCGTGATTACATGGGATTGCGTTAGCAGCACACTTGTCTCCTTTCATTAAAGGCTTCTATTTTCTGCTGTTTTTTTTATTTGCGAGTCGTAGAAGAGGCTGACAACGAAAATGGTCAAAAAATCATAGCGTAGCGCAAAATATGTGGAATCGCAACAGAATGTCACGAAATAGAACATGATTAAATTAACCCGTGGGCTGCGTAGAGGTATATGGGTCTATCATGGATTTTCATTTGATATTATGGTTATTAAACATACCGTTTGTTTTTTTTAGAAAAAAAACTAATTTAAACATTCGAGAAGAAGCAGTCCAAAATAAGTTTAAAATTGACGGTTATCTGTGGCGGGAGACCGACAGTTCTTTTCAAAAAAATTTACAGCTGTCAACCAAATATGAGATTTATTTCCGTATGGCGGGAACTAATTCAAGTTGCTAGCTATTTCATTCGATGACAAATAATTTAAACACTGCTACCAGGCAATCCGGTTATAATGGCATTGTAAAGTGACGACTTCATGGTCTAAATACATAGAAACAGGCAGGCCTTTCTGAAACCCTTCGAGTCAGTCAAAGCAAAGTTTTACTGTCGGTTAGGGCTAAAGTACCGACCATATATCGCTGTCTTCATCGACACATATTTTACACAAGTAAAGTGGCGTGACCTAATCGAGCCGTCATGCGTAAAAAGGTCGCACCGTAAAGGACAGCAATCAGCACCGCGAGGATTCTAATTAAGGCGGTGGAGGAGAGCGAGGAGGCGGGCGAATCGCACAGAGAGGCCAAGGTGTGTGCGAACAGCAGATGACAAAGGAGATGGGTTGTGCTTACGATTAAAAACGACAATTCGGTTTCGATGGTCGTTTAAGTTGAAAGAGGCAGTGGCACCAAGCAAGAAGAACGCAAGGCGCGACAATTATCGGGACGAGGAAGTGATTCAAAAGCCAAAATAACACATTTCACTAAAAACAAGTGTTAAATTACACAATGACAAAAGTGACGGCGCCAGGCACACCATGAGCAGTTCGCTTGTCACTTGAGGCGCTCCCCCAACAAGCTCACACACACGCGTCAACTCACCGACCGCACATTGACATGTTCATCCACGCACCACAAGGTGGCGTCCCACACACATGTGTTTTGGCTCTACTTTCCGCAAATTGCGATTCGGGGCATCAAAGAACTTCACTTAACAATTCCAATGTTTGCCAATTAGGCAGACACAAAACAAACAGCAGATGGAATTTCCACGGATAAGTCAACTCAAGATCCACATTTGTTGAAAAAGAGGCAATAAACGTGACTGCAAAAATGCAGATGCAAATTTCCATTAATGGGGATCTGTGTTGTGCGGAAATCCGACAGCCACGCAAACCCAATGCAGTCTGCACAGATATGCGCGCAGGGGAAGTGGGAAGGGCAACTACATGTCCACTTATGCACGGAAGATGAGTTCCTGAATTATTAATTAAATACTCAGTACCATTAAAAGACAGCTGGGTAATATAAGTCGTGAAACGAAAGTGAAAAAAATGCTACGACGCCTTAATCAAAGGAAGGGACCACAAACCCAAGGGAAATGAAGATTCCAACAACGATATTTGAAGCCTTACGAAAACTGGAGAGAAATAAATGTGGTTAAAATCCGAAGGATGAAGTCTGAATGTGAAAAATTCTGCCACATCTATAGATTTTGAACAAAATAAGGAAAAAAATACTATAATTATGGAAAAGACGTTACGTTTTTGCTAAGCTTTTTTACAAGAACTTTGCCGTGGGCGATTTGCAGACATTTCCTAAAGGCTGGACGTGAGAGTTGCAAAGTCCACCACTGACAAGCGTGGTGGAATGGGTCAGCACCCGGGGGTTTCATGAATAAAGAAAACTCACCCGAACAGTACAGTCGGTGGAGGCAGTTGCAATCCACCGTCCGTGTGGATCGACATCGACGTCAGTGATTTCGGCGGGTTTGTGCGCGACCAGGCTCAGAGACCACTCGTCGGAGAGGCTGCGTCCGCAAAGCATTCCGTCGAGGCCGGCGGAGAGCCACGCAAGCCGGGCCCGCCAGGCCTGGTGTTTCTGGAGTGGCTGCAGGTTGGGGTAGCAGTTGAACCACACCACTGGGTGCCTGGTGGGGCTCCAGGGGTCGGGGGAGAAGGGGCGGCCCAGACTCGGGGGGGCGATGGGCCGATTGGCAGTGGCGGCGGGGGCGGACGGAGGAGTCGGGAGGTGCATCCGGGGCCAGCGCTTGAATGGAGCCAACTTGCCCCCGTTGCAACTCAAATCGTCTTGCGCCTGACTGCTATTCACCTCCCATACCTACAGCGACATCAAATGACCCTGAACCAATTGTGCACCTATACAGCATAGGTGAATTTTCAATGGAACTACAGTGAAGCATTCACTAAGGCCACGCTGGGAATGATGACGCAATTGCACTCGCAAAACGGTGCAAGAAAACACTCTTTGAACTTTGCGATAGAGATCAGTGCATGCACCAGCTATTTACGGTCCTACTGCAAACAGCCATAAAGGCAAGAGCGCAGATGCACAACTGTGTAGTGTGTTAGATAGCGTGAAGAGTATTTGGAAGTGAACACGCACACGTAAATAATAGGCTGCATGGACAGCACAAGCCACAACTTTGACTATGTGGGGCGCTGTTAAAGAAATTATATTCCGTCGAAATCAGACCATCAGGACTTCGAATTGGTAAAAATCCCAAATCACTAGACAAATAATGAAGCGACCTGTCGATTGTACTTTTACCAAATCGAGAAAAGCTGCATGACACTCCACCACATTATAAAGACTAGTCAGCAAAAACACTTTTAAACTCTTTGAAGAATTATTCAGCAACATTTACTCCCATCACTGCGACCGCGATAACTATTATGTATATAGAAACAATGTGGAATTTGCAAGGGAAAATCACTCGATAGGATTAAGGCAGACTACTGTGGTTCTGATCCGGGCGAGAATGAACCAAATGGGTGGATGAACGCGGAAGCACAAATGTTGCCTTGTAGCCTTGCACAACATTACTGGATAAGGTCGGGTTCATGTTCCAGCAATAAATGTCACAATCTGGGGACGGAAACCTTGCAAGAGAAAACCGGAACCGCGGTGATGGATGTGACGTGGGTTTTCAACCAGTCAAGGAGCAGCGGTGGTGACTTAGGTCAAATGGGTTTTAAAGACTACTTCATCACACATTGAGGTGGAGTGTACAACATACAGGCGGCATACTACATAGCCAAAGTGTCTCATCGATACAGTTTAATTCCAACAACCAATAAAAAATCAGAGAGAAATGGACCGTGAACACGGAAAAGACACACACACACACACACACACAAACCTGATAAACGTGACAAAAGTAACGATAAGGCAGGTGGACTCATTGGCACTTGAAATAGAATGTTTGCTTGGAAGTTAAAGACGAAGACCTCTGCGTAAAACAATTTGAAAAGGAAACAAAACACCCAATGAACACGACCGACGTAAACCAGCGCAGCAGCCATCAACGTGTTTCCCAAGGGAAAAAGAAAGAAAAGGTCAAGACATTAGCGTGATTAATTGGTCGCACTTGGGGACTAATAAAGGGGACTAGGTTTAAATATTTTGGTGAAAATTAGCAGTAGGATAAAATCGCAATGGATCATGTAGAAATGGAGTAATGACAGTAATTGGCCACGTCGGTCATTAACTTTGACACCTCGTTACCACACATACACAAACCAGAAACAATGGAGTCTCGCATACTCCTATAGCTTCAGGCACGATAGCCTAGTGAGGAAGCATATGTGATCGTGAAGAATTTATTTGTACAAGGACAAGTGAAAGTTGGTTTTGCCCTATTAATGGGAACACGGTGCAGCACAAACTGGTCGCTGCAATGGGAGACAGTTTGCATGGGTGCTTGGTCAATCGGGCACTGGCGTGAAGCTTCCGCCTAAGGGATTAAGACGGAACCCCTCTAAGTCTAATTCCTATCCAGAGGTCCAACGTTTCCCAAACCAGGGTTCCCGGAATTTGTGCAGTTCTAGCTTATCCAGAGAACGGTGTAGAGAATTAAAAAAAAGAAAACGCAACCATGAGAAAATCGTACTTAAATTAAATTATCAAGAAACCACTTCAAGCCCATAAGGACCATACAAAGGGAAGAAGCGTACCAATTCACATAGGTGCTTATCCTAAAGGCCTTATAGTGGAAACAAAATTAAGTTAGACTTTGCTGATCAGTTTTTTCATTGCTATAAAATACATTGGAGAAGCATTTACTGTACGAACGAGTTGATGTTTGCTAATCTAAATTAATTCCTCTTTTGAGCGAGTGTCTCAAATGGGTCACCAAACACGGATACACATTTAAATATTCCTACGTTTAGGAGGTCCGCTGAGCACAGTGGGTCATTGATCTTTAAGACAACAGCCACATTCACAAAGCGAGTGACAAGAGCCTGCATTATGGGCAGAAGAAGAAGCACACTCCATTGAGCGACTCAGATCTCGGTGTGGTTGAAAACCCATTCGGGATTACAAAGACAAAACTCAGGAAAGCAAACCACGCTGCGTCTACTGAAGGTGAGAAATCATTTTAATCTTAGCGCCGTCGCTCAGAAAACTCAAACTACCGTCTGCAAACTCTTGCAACTAACCAGGTCATAAGAAATCGTATGTCTCCTATTCCGGAAATGACAGACAGCATAACTGACACCTAGGATGCGCTTAGGATTTTTTTACACTTTGAGATTGCAAACACAACATGAAACCCGGTGGTTTTTTCCCAACTAAATATATTCGGTTAAGCTTTCTTAAGAAGAGAAATGCATCGAACATTTGCTCTAACCAGAAGTCATACTTCGCGTGTTTATTACATTAGGGTTCAATTTTGGGTATTAAGGCTTTTTTTTTCATTTGCTCACGGCCCATGCGATAAAGTAGCGTGAAGAAGCGGCTGTGGGCTTCCAATTGGCAACACTCAAGCGCGTGGTGCTTACTGCGTCGGTGAGGCGCGCGAGACGTGCACTTGCTGGCCATGAACTGTGCAGCAGCAGACGTGACTGGGACATCAAAGAGCAGCTGGAAATCACCAAGAAACTACGTTGTGCGTAGGACCAAGATACTTGGCTTTTATCTGGCATTAAAGAGAGTTTCTCACGCAGGGGATTTACCAAACGCAGAGCCATTTAGTCCGCCAAGAAGAGATGAGCGACGAGGACTTGAGCAAGCTCTTTCGACAGTTTTGCGACTCCCAACTAACGCTCAAGGCAAGATCACGAGACACACAATTCACATTACAAATGATTCGGGAAATGGGTCTTTCGATAATCAAACCAAGAATCTCAAATCCATGTAAGTAATATTGCCGCATTAATGAAGTTGTCGTATTAACACTGAGGCGCGACAATAAATTACAATGAACGGAGATTCTGCATTTCGAGGGCCAACAATGCAGCAAACAACAAATTACGCTTTCTGCAAACACGCAAAATGGTAATAAAATTCCCTCCCATAGTACAACTTCGGTTTACAACTTGGAAAATTTATTTGTAGTGGGAATTGTATTTGCCAACACGGGAAATGTTTTTGAACCACGAAACAAACGCGAGTCAAAAATTCCACTAATGAATGAGCCCTAATGGCTTGGATCGGTAGCGGATGCAACTAATAAAGCACAGGTAGCAACTTTAGGACCTACAAGCCTCTTGGACAACATGGCAGCATTTCATACGCACACACTGTGGAAAGTTGATGTCATTGATAAACAAACAAATACCCAGCAGTCTCATATTAGCGTCGTCCTTTTTTGTGTGAAGCTATTCGGTGAATAAAATGCGATTCTAGGTTATACTTATACAATATTAAAATTTACGAATAAGTTAACTGCCTTGGATTAAGGGCAGTCATCAACCGCATTTTGGGGCAATGCTCTGCATCTAAACTGCACTAAAAGCAGATGTGCGCATTTTACGGAGTCTCGCTCTCTTTCATACGCATTTTAGCAATTATTTTTATCCTCCGCTGCTTGAGATAAGTTGGACAGAAACTTGAAATGCGTGCGTGATTTTGTGTAAGTTTGAGGTTAGCAGCAATCACCCCCGTTAGGTGAATCGCGGGAGACGAAGGATGAATCTCATGCAATTACTGCTCGGTCGTTGAAAGGGCTAAGTAGGGAGGTTCGATCGTTATACTGAGATGGGATCGAATCGAAAAAGTCCTGAATCCCAATCGCTGGACCCGCTGGCTGATTAGAATATTCCTTTAAGTAAATTTACGATGTTGCAAACAAAAGGAGGGCGGAAAACAAAAGCAATGTCGACATTTTACTGCAGGTAACTTTGCAGGATATTAAAATACTTCGATTTGTTGATATTATGCTCTTGTGAACTGATGGCGTAGAATTCCTCCTGGAGCTAGTAACCAGAACATAGCAACGTAGGATCTCTGTGGAAGATGCGACTGGGTAGAGTAGTGTTCCACTGGCGCAGTGTGACGTAAGAATGTAACGCTGTGCTCCAAGAAGCAGGAAGCAAAATACTTGATGACCTCGCCCACTTACTACCGTGTGGTTCGGCCAGGAGTGTGTTGGCGAAGAAGACTCCACACGAGGTATCGATCAACACGGAGAACTTTGGTGAGCGGCATCATCATCAACAAAACAGTGTTTCATAGAAACAGGTTCAAGGAAATCGGTTACCTCTTTTAAAATTTCGCCTTTCATGTCCCTAATGATAACGGTCCCTAAATCAACAGTTACAAAATCACATACTAGTGTTGACCCCACCAACGCGTGGATAGGGAATGAGGCAGCACTTCCCACACCAAACCCACGGCCTTCGCGGGATTGGTAATGGTGTATTATCATGCAACTACAATGCCGCACTTTAAACTAGACAGTTTCGGAGGTCGTGAAGCAAAATGATGCTTGGTCCATCAGGCTTTGCACATCCCCAGTCAACAGCAATGGTCCCAATAAAATTCCAAATGCCGAAGTGAAGATGTCACACAGAACAAAATGGTTATTAGGGTGAATGTTGACTTTCGATTAACTACAGGTAAACATTGTTAAACATTGTTCTTCTCATATGAGTTGCGCCCAATGGAACCCAATCTTCCACCCCAATGACGGTTTATGAGGATATTCTCTTTCGGGCTTGAGAAAAAAGTAGACTGCAAGCAGACGCAGACAAAGCTTTGTTATTAAATGGAATTGGCTCAGAGAACACACAATCTTTCTTTTTCACTGCACCTCGTGGTCTAAAACGTTCCACCATTTCAAATGTTTGGTTGTTAGTCACCGCAAAATTTGATCCCAAAGCAACATTTTAATTGGTTTGTTCTTGAAACCTACGCGACGTGTTGAATTTGTTTGACACAAGGTTTCGGCCAGTGATAAATTTAATACATTACCGTCCCAAAAGCGACCGCTAGTTGGGGATCAATCCTGTGAGCCAAACTACGCCGATTCTGCCACGAAACTTAATAACGACAACTCGGGTAACAAAACTTCGGAACGTGTCGTGAACACCTTGGCATTGTACCAGCACGTGCCGGTCAGCTGGAGTAGGGCTCCGTTGGCTAACATCGAGGTAACGGAAGATGAATAGGAGATTTTTATGGTTCGAGGATATAAATAAAAAAACACTACTGAGTGCGACTTACATGCACATTTCCACCCGCGGTAATAACGGCAACCACAAGCTCCAGGTCAGGGTCCTCGAAATTAGAAGGGGGTGTCCACAAGGAGAGGTGGGTAATTTTCATGGAGGTGGAGACGATTTCGAAGGGGAGGTCTCTATTCAGGGTACCCGGACGTCCGTTATTGCCTGAGCAATCAGAATCGGAAATGGAGTTTCGTGAAAAGACCGTCAATTTTCGGTAGGGCTTGAAACCACTGAGAGGGTCTCGGGGAACGTTCATACGAAGAACCTGGAAATGCCAATACAGTCTCATGGGGATTTGAGGAATGGCAACTTGGGTTGTAGGTGATTTTAAAGTTGACTAAAAACGACTGAAAAAGGGTGTTAGATGATTCCTTTTGGTCAGTAGAGTAGGGAGTAGTTGAAGTCGAGCTGGCGAATTTGATAGCGGGGAAGTGAGTAGGTAAGAAACGCACTTGGACAGTCCCATTCTCGAATCCTATTGCGAGCAGCTTCAAGTCAGCAGAGAAGGCGGCACAAGAGGGCACCGGGTTATTTGTCACGACTCGATTGACCAACTGGAATGCACTGACCGAGGACTGTTCCACTGGGCTGCCCGAAACGACTGGCAAGTGGGCTTGGGCTAAGGACCTCCCGTGACAGAGGGAGAGGGACAACTCCACGCATTGGAATGACTGGTATCCGGCAGCGTCGCCTCTTTCCCCGTCCACGCCGACCACCGAAACCGGCTTCCGAAAGAGGATCTGAAGAGCCGAAGGAGTTTGGTTTAAATGCATAGGGAAAATTACTGGGCAAACAGTCGAGGCTACTACAATGAGTGGTGAACAGCATTCACAGGAATTGCAGAATGCAAAATACTTTTACTGTTTCGCAGAATGCCCTCAAATGATTAAGCTTTGCCACAAGTTTTTGCACTAGCACATATCAACTACCAAAAAAGACAAAGGGATCTTTGAAATTTGAGGGACCAAACTTATCATTTTACAAAGCTTTTAAAAGTACAATCTGATTTTAACATTTCGTGTATTATAAATCACGAAAGAGTAGTTGTTGTATCTCTTGCGCGGGAAAGTATTTTGTAATAATGCACTGTACATTGAAGAGTGCAATAAAGCGGAAATTAAAGAAATAAGTAATGAAAAACATGCTATTAGCACTGGTAGTGGGTGATTACCCTTGGTTTAAGCTATAAATTGAAAACGTAGTGGACTAGGATCGATAGGTACAGCCCGGATATAAAATACAAATACGCCAACAAATGAGTTTAACTGATGAGCAGCACGCGCACTTGCTGTCTTGCAGTTAAATGTCAACGGAAGACGAAATAGAAGCGAAAACGATACCCCCGCTTCCGTAAAACGATATTACGCGTAAAAAAAAGCAAAATCCGCTTAATCCTATAAAGAATTTAGGGAGAGCGAGAGAGAGGGGGAATGGTGCCATCGGAGTAGATGGTTTATGCCATCTTTTCCTCCCTACCACTAGCACAGGTGACACTTAACCTCGGAAATAAGCATCCTTTAATAGAGAAAATGACCAACGTGGTACGCGAAACAGAACGAATAGGCCAAACTTCTGTTACGAAAAAAGGAGCAGGAGGTAGCCTGATTCTTATAAACTAACAATGTCACCGCAAAAGTAAAAAAGGAACCTTTTGAACCCAAACTCGCAAAAAAACCAAGAAACGCACGTACAATTACACAGATTGGATGAATGCACGAAATAGACTTGCTAAAATGGGTTGTGAGGCTCAAACCATAGAAAAAATTACATCAACGTCAGAATGTGGCATTTAGACGATCATTTGTGATAATCTAATTCAGGAGATCAACGTCAGTTAACGAAGCGGTGACGGTTTGCATAACGTGGGTACAATAGGAAGCATTAGATTTACCCAATATGCATAAATCAAACACGGGTATGATGGAGGGATCGGCAGAATTTCGAGAATGTTTTGATCTACCGATATCGATGGTGCTGGGACAATCTGCGGGGCTTGGAAACATCCCAGAACTGCCCAAACTATTAAATTTAAACAAAAGAAACTTATGAAATAAGATGGGCTGTGGCCAAATCGCACAATTTCTAAAGTATGGCTTTAATTCATTTGCAGATAAGCTGATCAATAAGGTTGCTGCAGAAAGAAGCACACGAAGTGGGACTTTGGAGCAGCCATCCGGCACGACAGAATACAAGAGCGCGGAAGGCCCATCGAATCAAAACTCTTGTTGAATGATGATTGTTTCGCCCACTGAAGTTTGGAGGAGAGGAGTTGTTTCTTAAAGAAGCGTGATTTATCATGAATTAGAAAGAATCGTGTTCAGTGGTTAAAAAACCCTTCATGTTTGCTACGACAATCGAACCAGTACACGAAGAACACAACAAATCAAATTGGATGAGCACAAATATTTGTTAAAATGAAGCGTAAACAAATATACACACAGGACAAGCGAGTGAAATTTCACACTTTGGTAATCAAGAGGAGAAAGGATATCCACGACTTCAGAATCATGGACAAATGGAGCTCTTGTAGTCGGATATGTGTAAATTAGGGATTTCAGTAGTTACAAATACATGTAGCCCCGAAACCCCGTTGCAATTTTTTAGAAATAACCATACAAAAATTGTATGGTTTCCGTTTTATGCTAATACAAACTTTGTTTACGCAGGCATAACCGCATATCTTAAGAAAGGAAGCGAATAACCTTTATAAAGAATGTTTTGCAATGATTGATAAGGAACAATGAACGTAAGAAAGATGATGAGGAAAAAACAGATGAAACAAATTTTGCGCTGTAGGGAAAACAGCACATTGTCACGTGTCAGTGGAGCCACTGACAACGCATCACGTTTGAGTAATTAGATTGGCGGGGTCGAACTTTAACTCCAGAACTGAGTGGGGTAACTTAGGCATAAACAAAAATACATTAACGTGAATTAGTAATATGATTGGTTGTCCGGTTGCTAGGTTGTCGGCAAATTAGTGCAGCTACTATGTAAATATCGAGCCTACATAAAGAGAAACAGAACGCTTTTTTAGTAGATAGCGCGTGTAGTCTGCCCAGCAGTTGCAAAGTTTTGCCTAAAAATGGATTATTTAAATATTTATCGAAGACTCTTTACCAGGAGATCTGAAAGGGCGCGCAAATTGCATGATGACACAGTCTAATCTCAACCTGAACGGCTGCACAATTTCTTGAGTAAAGACGACCAAAGCCCACGAAAACTATTCAAAAGTTGCAGAACCAAAATGACAAATCACTTAGGGTTTTCTGTTCTTTGAGACGCCAGTCCTAATTTTGATGGCATGTTCGTATTTACGACAGTGTGAAATACGAAGTTATGAAGAGCAGTTCACTTAGCGTCAAAATTCTGTCACAACCGCGTAGCGACCATCCGCGACAGATATCCTCAATCTACGTTAGCCACCGGATTGCCTAACCTCCTCTCTATTAAACTTATCGTCAAATGCCCCCCAACACTACAGAGTTGTTAATCAAATCATCAGAATAGCGGCATGGATGAAGAGTGCGCACGCAACCAGCTAAAGCGATGCGGCGGTGAACAAACGCCAGAAGTTACAACATTTTCTCAAATGCTCTACAGGTATCGTCCTGCTATCAAATCTCCTCGTTCCCATGTAGTGCTGACAGTAAATGTTGAAAAGAAGGACATCGAAAGCACAATAGGGCAGAAGCATTGAGTTCCACGACACTAGAGCGCAACTTTAGTCTTGGATGCCCCGTGAACCGATGTCGACCAGCTGCCTTTAAATAATTGGATAATACCATGAAGAAAAATGCACAAGCTTAGGATTGTCTCTGCGACCTCAGCTACGTGGTGGTATCATTGTTTAGAACTCTACCGTAGCATCATTAGTGTCGCAGTATGAGAAATACATTTAAGCAGGGTTTGCAAGGACAACCAGGGAAAGAAAAATAAAGATACAAGACACCAAAAGTGGCTATGGTCCAAAGAGTCACAGATTTTGCTAGCTATACGGCCAAATATGCTAGGCAGACGACCACTTGGGGAATCAACAGAATTAGAGCAAGTACGGCAAATTTACACACGCAGCAACGATAAAGTGGGGTCGGTCCCAACGGACATTAGCAACATTGTTGACGTCGACTTGACAAATGGATTATGTGAAGTGATTACAAAAAAAAAGACGCAGCGAGTGTCAACGCCATTAAAAAGTGCGACATGGTAATAATGTCAAAAGCAAAGCATTCGTTTTCAGCTAGGACTAATTGGATATGAAGTCCTACTAGCACGTGTTGTGGAAACCCAGAAGTAAAAAAAATGTAGTAAATGTTGAGCAATCACTTTCTACAGATTTTGTGACCAAACAATGCATCCTGACACCAGGTACATCTCGCATCTCCGTTACACGGTTCAGCCTGTGTTGTTTGCGCGCGCTTTTGTTCTGTGAAATACTGGGTCCGAGTCCGTCGTATCCGTTAGTGCCGGTTATCGTTATTTGAGGTAGTGCACTTGACCACAGGCCACTAAACCTTAACGAGGGGAAGCAACTACGACTTCTTCGGCCACCTTCGCTATGTGCATTTGAGGCTTGTCCTCTCGTAAGGCCCGCCCACTGAGACACTTTTGCTCCCAACACGAAACTCGGGAACAATGATGTCTCGGTTCTGCCAACAACTGTAGTACATTTTGTAAGTGGGAATGAAGATTCCGATGCGAGCGAACTGGGCATAGGTAACTGGTAGGTGAATCACATTTCCACAAATATCCAATTGACAGGCACATTAATCAAGTCCAGCTCAGTTTGCCTACTTACGACGAGGGTAATACAGCAACGCCCTGATTTTACAACTCTAATTAGGAGTAACTAATTGCAACACGAGATAATAAATAACTGGTTACAAATTAAATAGAATGTTAAAACGCAGGATAGGATTGAATTATTCGTGATTTCTTTTGATTTATTCAACGGGTCTCCCTAAAAAGTCCCCTCGTTTGTTTACAAAATGGAACAGAAGTAATAGGGATTGTACTCGATCACATTCAATTTGGGTGAAGTTAAAGTACTCAAAAGAAAAATGAAAAATGCAGTGGGGCAAAGGAAAATAACTGGTGAACAAAAAGGAGGGACAGGACAACAAGAGGGAGAGGGAGGGAGGGACGACCTTTCAATAAAACACAAGCCGCCCCCACCCTTAAACACGAAAACGCCCCTATTAAGCACCTTCTGCGATGCAACTTCCGCAAAAAAATAACCTATTCTATGACAGGCACAGAGTTAACTCAAAGGGAATATTTCATCTCCGAATACCTAATGTATTGAGCGACAAAATTTGGCCTCCAAACAGACGTCAAAGTGATGCTAATCTATTGAGTTTTGTTGGTCCAATGCCATAAAGGCCGCCCTCCCACTGTGGAGAAGAATGAACGCTGGTGTTAACGAAACAGATGCGTTGATGGTGGGGTATTTGGAAGGCAAAAACGCTGCGATGCCTGTTTCCGCTGCGGTGTGTCCGCTAAATCCAGAGGTGAAAAAGCCACGGATGTTACTAGAAGAAAGTGTTGCTTTCATTGCAAACCACAACTGTAAGACATTACTCCTGGGTCAAGCGGAGAGACGCAGAACTTTGACTTGAATAAGCATCTTTCGGATATAGGGCCAGTGTGTCATTGGAAAAGCATTATCGACAGCGCATTTTTGGCGTAAACGTTGAAGTGTTTAGCAAACGATTGCTAGAAGTAAAATTACAACAGAGAGTAGATTTTAGAGAACACAAAAAAACAGAATTCGGTGTGATGCAGCGGGAAATAAAGGCACAGAAAATAACTGCTATCACTTCTGACAACGATCACAGCGAAGTCGCGTGTCTACGTACTATAGTGGGTCAAACACTGATTCCTCAGGTGCTACATATGTCTCCAATCGAGATTAACTGACGTGAACGTCCACTGTGTAACCTCGAAAGTGAGAGCAAGCTTATAATAACAGGCAGAATCACCCTCACTCTAGAAGCTGGCAGCAAACCTAAATCACAATTTTGGGCGTTCAACAAAGGGGGGCCGGGACGAAATCAAAAAGCGATCACTGAGGACATAAAACAGAGGCGTAAAAGCCTCAAACTCGTCAACTATGGCGGCTTTTCGTTAGATGGTTCAAATAAACACATTTAATGCATAGAAATAAAACGTTTGAGAAGGTTCTGCACCACTGGAGTACTTCGTTACGTCAGCACATGTCCATTTAAGCAGAAATCTTTGCGCCAAGGTGACAAAACGTAAATTTACACATTGTAAAAAAATCTGACTGCTAAGCTCGCATATGTGTGAGTGATTAAGCCCTAAAAACCTAATTCCCGTCTTACAACTAGGAGGACATTAAATCCAGGATGAAACAAAAGTAGTTTCTTAACTGATCAGACTGACACAATAGTGATACGACGTAAGAAGGCATCATTCGCCAGTCGATGAATAAGACGGGTGCGAATTAGTCCGTTGAATATCGCATGAAATCATCATCGACAGGGTCTCTACAGCAATCGCGCGCACTCACCTGCAGACTGCAGCTGGCCTTGATGCGTCCGACGGCGTAGAACTCCCCACGCAGCCCAAAGACGACGCTGAAGACATCGGCCCACAGTGGGAAGGGCTGTTCCCTTGCACAGGCTTCAACGCGAACCGACTGCTCGAGGGTTTGCCTCCTGTTGCGCGATGGAGAGCTCTCCGCCGAGAGGATCAATGACATGTTCTGAAATGCGCGAGTGAGGCAAACTGACTGCACACCTTCCCTTCAAGGCGTAATTTTCAGACAGATTAGACACACACACACACACACACACAACAAGTCGGTCCAATCCACTAAAACACCCACGCTTTGTCGCAGGGTCCTCTTTAAGACTTAGACACTTGAAAATCGACTAATAACCAGTTTGACTGAGGCAATATTTGGATGAACGTGGCTTTTGTAACTCAAACTTGAGTGCAATCTGGTGGACACATTACCCGAAGTAGGACTCCAGAGACATCTCAGGCCTGCTTCAATCCTGAACCTCTCAAACTGAATAAATGCACACATAACACGAAATATGGCAAGGAGACACTAAGTCCATATTCCATCATTTCAAATTACATATAGGGCCACCGGCGAACGAATAGCCAAGTTCCAAATTTTAAAAAAATTGTTCCACGTGCTCCAATAATAGTGACTGATATGTGGTGCGAGGACACAATTGCAATCAACTCTCGGGTAGTTTACATGGACCGGAAAATATTCCGTTTCAAGTACCATCTCCATGGTCAATTCAAAGGTTGGTGAGAAGGCCTTTCTAGTTTAGAACAAAGCCACTCGTCAGACATACCTACCGCACAATTGTGTCAGTAAGTAGACATTGTGATATTTCGGACCGAAAAGTGCAATTTGTAAATGTGATGGACTTCTAGCAAGGTAGGCCCGCACGTGAAAACGCAGCAGCAGAAATGATCTCCGATTTTGAGCCATGCCTTCAAGAGTGCAGAGGCACCGGCAGAAGGGCAGACACGCGCACACCGCACGACAGTCGAATTGGGACCCTAGCTGAGTTGCATTCGGCAGACAAACTCGATCAAAAGCATTGTGTTTAGGAGGCTCTACTTCCATACACAGCTGGTTTTAAGAATGCCTATTTAAGTCCAACATACTATATATATATAAATAAACACGTTCTTCTGCTTAACTGAGAGCTATCGATTCGACAAATCGTCTACTCAAGTTGGACAGCCATACCATCGACTGCGGCTCCTTGCTGTTCGACCAGGGGAACTCCCACGCCTTAACGACGCCATCTTCTGCAGCGGTCGTCACCGAGACAAGATCGGATGTGGCCGCAGGCGAGAGGGTGTTGATGGACAGGGGGCGGTGGGACGGCGAAGTGGGAGTTGCCGCGGGCGACCGACAGTAGCCGTACGGCGAGAGACGGACACTGGTCACGGGAGTACAGTGTGCGCAAACATCGAAGACTTTGCAAAGTTCGGGAAGACTCCATATCTAGGGAATGAACAGGTTTCTTAGGCATATCTTAGTATTCTCTGAAGAGTCTACCAAAGAATTACAAAAGCCGTGTGGGGACGACGTTGGCGGAATCGCGCACGATTGCAAGATAAATACTCCAACCAACGTGGTGCTTGATACAATGTGCGATGCCACGGGCTACATCGGCAATCAGACGTAAGGCTGCAGAGAAATCCGAAAGCGTGTGGCAAATCGAACAAATCGGTGAATGTGCGAGTTAATTCCGATGTATTTTACAGACGCAGATACACATTAGAAGAATACGGGGCCTTCGCAGAACCAAAAAGCACCCTCGTGACGTAGAGTATGCCCGAAGAACGTCGAAATTGCCGAGGTTATCTGAATGATTCATAAAAACACACAAAAACCCAAACAAAAGGTCTTCTGCTCCCCCCTCGGAGTAAAATCGCCAGAGCTGCGTAGGACAGACTCAATCTAGTTGATTGTATGCAAATGACCGACCACTGCGTCCGTTTGTCTATTTAATGCCATTGTGTTGTGGATGCATTAAAATGATTACGATAAAAAATCAACCGTATTTATGCAACGATTGAAAGCCACTGCGAATGATAAACTGAAAGAAATAGCGGTGAGTAAACAACTGGAAAAGGTTTTCCGATATGACAAAGTTAACTAAAAACGAGGGAATAAATTATCAATAACTTTTTTCCCTGAAGGTCGCAGACTACTAATCTGAACTATGAGGCCTTCTTTCGACTGATAATTTAAGTCCTACATAAACGGATTTAGGAAGAAATACTACAAGCCTTGGTGAGGAGCAAGTTTGTTCGAAGGCACTTGAAGGTGAACGTATCTACTATACGTCGGGTATCTGGGTCAAATCATAGAAGGCACATTTTCTGATTCTCATGAAAAAGGAAAAGCGTGGGTGAATACCTAGGGCTACGGCATCCACACACCAAAATCACGAGTAGATGGTCAGGCTTAATTTGCATTTAAGCAGTAATCTATCAAACAAACCCATGAGTGTTGAGCTGAACAGAAAAAAACTAACGCCTATTGGTAGGTTGATAAAGGGAAGAGGCTAGTTACACCAGAAAGAATGGCTCATTCTAGCAACAACCAGGGCCGAAATTCAGGAGAACGACACGATTCTATGGCCATAGCACACGAGCGCGGACGGAACCAGTAACTACGGCAGGAAGGGGGGAGGAACAAAGAGGAGGCGGGGCGTGCGTGTGTGCTCTGGGCGAGGAGCCGGCTCTCGGCCGCGTGCCCACAGAGTCGCATGTCAGAGGAGTGATGCGGGTCGGTCCCAGCCGCGATTTACAAGGTTGGCAACAAGGAGCACGGGCGCTTGATTATAAATTGGAATGGAGGCAGTCAGGCAGTCACGGATTACAGCTGGAAATTGCCGGGATACCGAACCTAGAAGGTCACGATTTCGTTCGCCCCAAAGTTGACTGGGTGAGTTGAGTGCCTAACTTGTTTTAAAAAGATACCGAAATTTCACAGGTCATCGGCGGGATTGCTTTACCAGAGACCAATTTCCGCGTTTAGAAGTCTGGTCTAACGGATGTCGGAATTAAAATCGCAAAAGGCATTTCCGAAATCCAGCTGGGGTATATAAACGGAGAAGCATACCAATAACGATGCCCACATTCAGGACCCAAAAAAACTTGAGAAGAAGGCTTAGTACCAGTGGTTTGAGAACCAAAACTGCATCCGAAAGTTGGGCATTAAACGTTGGCAAAGTATCAACAGGAGATAAATCAAAGAAGGCGGAATTGCGAATAAGGCGTGGTGGACCATCAGCGGACGCACATGAGCTAAAACTTGTCTGAACAGGTTTACGCAAATTGATTGGTATTTGGACTCACTCCTACCGTTTAGAGGGCGGCTCAAAAACACGCCCACTCGCACTCGCCCAATGACACACCGCACCAAGCAGGCGGATAAGCGGTTGTGTCCATCTCGTCGTACCGTCATCCCATCACCTGCTTTGCTCTCAGGTTCTTTGAGTGTCCTCGTACAAAGGAAACACAAAAGGGGAATGCGATGTCCTTTGTTAGAACCCGTTCATTTAGAACCCCCTCGTAATGTGTTTTCACACGGGGTTAACATGATGTAACTAGTCGCTCACCGCTTACATGAATTGGGTCTTATTAACAAGGAAGTAACTTACAATTGCGTGTCCGTTGGTTAGCCCAGCAGCTAGGAAGCAGCGGCTGCCAAAAGACTGGCTGTCCAGTGCGGTAATCGCAACGGCGGGAGGGCAAGGCAAACAAAACTGGGCGCGGCTGGCTGGCACAATCGTTTCGGGATTCTGCAGATCATCAATGCCATCAGGGAGCTTATTTTCGAATGACCAAACCTGGCAAACGAAATGATAGTAAGCTAAGATGTTTCGAGTTTCACGGCCTCGAGTAATTGCTCCGGAGACTTTTCTGGCTCAGCAAGGCATCCGAAAATGGGTCAATTTGGGCTTCCAAAGGAACCACTAGGAAACCGATTCAATTCGTTCAAAGATAATGCAGCAGGCGTGGGCACGGTAATTAACTGTAGGAATCCCACTTTACACAAAAAATGCTGACTTGAAGTATACTTGGGCTGGATTGCACAGTGGTCACAAAAATTCGGGCGAACTAAGGTTAAAACCGACCTGAAACGTTGGATGTCAGCAAAAACAGAAAATCAACTGTGTAATTCGAGAAACACACGGGGCCAACGATACGGTGACCAAAAACCGAACTCACCAAGACCAGATTGTCGATTGCGGCAGCAACCAACGGATTCACTGGTGGGTTCCAGCCTCCGGGGTTGACGGGGGCTTGTGCTTGGTTGGGCCAGTGAATAAAAATGCACGTTTTGGCCACTTTTCCATCGACGAGCGCCAACTTCATCAACTCCGGATCGCAGTAGGACTAGAACGCATGAAATTAATGGGAAGTTGCACACTGAAAGAAAAGCACGCGCTATCGCAACTTGGCGACTATAATTGTTACAGCAAGTCCACAAAAGCAGGCTGGCGTGGTGTGAGCAGAATGGTGTTAGGGGGCTATGTTAAATGCAATTGGCCCTGGCTGCCTTGCTAAATACGTATTTACATTTACTGCTTAACTTAGTAGTATCACTTCTCAAAATCTAGCAAGTGTTTCGGCATTTCTCAGCATGGATAACATGGAGCAAAGGGAACGGCATTTTACAGGAAAAAATTTTGCGCCAAAAATAGACTCCGACAATGTTCTGGCAAAACGGTTTGCAGGACTGCCTAAGTCGACAATTGGTAGTTAGTTGATGACGACAAAAATAAGACAAGGAATGGCAGCCGTGTCTCGAAGGGCCGACGCGTAAGCTACTTGCTCGTGTCTGGTTGTATGGTCATTTTAAAGCCTAGGCACACGAAAATTGGCTCATGGACCCAAAAAACGTGCAACAACAAGCGGTGAAAATGCGGAGCGCAATAGACGGTGGGTTAAACGAAGTGAACAGCCGCAAGTAGTATGAGAGAAAAAACCATGTGGTGAATCTGGTAGAGTGAAAATTAATCAGATGTCAGGGAATGTACTCCCTACGTAAGATTGCCAATTAATTCCATAACCGCTTTCTACTGCATTGTTTGGAGGCATTAAGAGCAGGGAGAAGCATGTGGAGTTGAAATGCCGATACGAAGGTGGACCTTACGCGTGCTTATCAGGCAGATTGGCACTGTTGGCATTACGCCTCGCCAAATAACATGACTTCCGAAATTGATATCTCTCAATAATTCCCTCTATTGAAAAGAAAACAGTTCTTGTGTTGATCAGGAAATAAAAACCTGCAAACATTTACGGTCAGAAAACCATGAACACAATGGTTAGTGCTACGGCCATGTTACTTTCGTTGGGGGCCGAACAAATAGAAAGTCCACGCATCGGGCCAATCAGCACTAGATCAGGAAAAAAAGTTTGCAATAAAGAAAACCGCTGCCGCTGTTTAACATTGGGTAGTCTGTATACAACCAACATCGAAATGGAGTGTTAGAAACTAAACTAACTAATGAAAAACGAGAGGAGAGAAAAAGACGAGCATAAACTGACTCACATCAAATGGTTTGTACAAAAAACCGTATCGGATTACAGGGAAAAGGAAGCCTTAGCTCACAGTAGCATTGACCAGGTGTCAAGAATACAACTTGCAGTGTTAGTTAGCGTTGTTCTCGTACGACATTCACCTACTTGACTCGGGAACGTCATTTGCCGAGGCGTGGTCCTTCTGATCCCTGCTTCCCACCGCCTTCGCTTACGTGAAAAAAAACTCAACCTTAAGTCCTATTGGGGAGCTGTCTAACGCCTCAACAGTCCCCTGTCTTTTCGCGCTCAAGAAACCAGTAGTGTTGATTTAATTAGGAGGCGACAGACAGGGCTGTTCCTATAAGATGGATATGTGCGGCAGTTAAGTCTGTCTTTATAGTGTGAAACTAAAAAAAGGTAGTAGTTTTGCATGACACACGAACATGTGGCCGACAAAACACCACTCCCACTTTCGCACGGATGGCTTTTACTAGAATAACAGGCAGCACCGATTTAATTTGCAAAAATGGCCTTTCCCGCTGCATTTTCAGCTAAGGCACATGTTTTGAAATCGACGTCAATTTTGAAGTTTTGGAACTGGATAGAGGACGCAGAAGAGACTTAATTGTTCCGATCGGGATGAAAGAGAAAAGCTAAATGCGCCCCGTCACTTGGCTTACACTCTCCTAAACCCAACTACTTCAGTGTCGCATAGAAACTTTGTGCAGGTGGCAAAAAAATACCTGCACAAACAACCGCGACATTTTAATTTACCCCCCCCCCCCTAAAAAAAGAAATTCAAAATGGCAATGTCCATTTCGCAACGAGACTGCCTGTGCGATGGAGAGGGCTGGCAGAAGCCCCCTGGTGGTGGAAGTTAAGCGATATTTGCCAAAGCCTGACAATACGGCCGCACGTCTCGCAGCCCTACGCGTCAACGCACGCATCTACTTGCCCGAAAAAATCTTGCACAAGTGGCTGCAAGAAACGCGAACTTCGGTTCTTTTCGATTGGAAAGCCACGTTAGCTAGATATTGACCAAATTTTGACAGTTCGCTTTGGGCTTTTCGTAGCCATGAGCAAATCGTTGATTTGACGCGGCTGAAAAATGCCGACGACGCTGCAGAGTGGGGAGTGCTGTCATGGGAATTGGCAAAAAAAGATTGGAAGCTCAAAAAATTCGCCGCACACTCTAAAAATGAGATAAATGGGGAACAAAGGGCTAAAACAGGGAAGAGCGTTGCCAAATTTCGGGCGGAGCATACAGCGCACTGATCGTACCGTCCGAATAAAAGCGGACTGATGTGCGACGATTTTAGCCGCCACGTGATTGGCACACGTGGCCGAGTTGGGCTGCTCCTCCCTAGCGCCGCCTCATGGGACAAAAATAAAGCGCAGCTCTGAAGAAGGACCGAGTACCGTGTCTCAGTTGTCTTATTTGATTAACAAAGTTCAGATCCCAACCGCAGCAAGTTCTTCATCAGATAACAAAGAAGCCTGGCCAAAACCTACTAAATTCGGAGCCGAATCAGCAAGATAAAATCATCAAAGAGAATGTAGCCATCCACTTTACCTGGCTTTAACTTTTCTGCGCAAGTGAAAGCTGGAGTTTGAGTAACCATAAATAGGAAACACTAACTTTAACCTAGAGACCACCTACGTCCCCACATTATCATGCCAAATGGCCACACACATGTAGAAAGATTTGGGACTCCTAGAAACTAGAAGATAATGCCAAAACTAAGTGCTAAATGCTGACCGAAATTAGGTCAAGAGGTGAGGACTCCGGTCTTGGTCTAGGTGTGCGGGTGCTCATCGGCGCAGCGAAGAATGGATCCGCCATTAGCGCAACAGCAGAGGCAATGCACGTGACCCAACCGATTTCATCCAACGAGAAGATCCACAGCCGACCGTTCGAAAGACCCGTGATGATGAGGGAGTCGTCGAGTGAGATGGAGGCCGTCGCGACAGTGACCTGAGTCGAGCGTTCACCGAGTTGCGGGGGAAGAGTCAGTTCACGACTCTTGACGAGGGTGAACTTGCACTGGGACTGCGCGAGGACGGAGTAAATTGTCAGGGAAATTGGGTTCTGCTCTGGAGGCGAGGGGACCAATGAATCATCCAGAATACGGCGACGTCTCAAGGTCATATCGGCGGTTGGCGAATTCGGATTCGGTTGATCCGAGAAGAGGAGGCAAGTCCCAAGAGGCGAAAGAGCAATGCACTGCTGGGTAGCTGTGTCGTCATCATGGACGCCTGAATCAACGGCCTAGAAGAGAAAAATGGTGAAGCATGTCAAAGACATCGAAACACATTTCGCATACGAGTTGCTGCGCTTCATCTACTTACATAAGTTGTGCAAAACAACGAAACAATCGATACATCACGAGGCTGTAGTGGACTAGCAGGGATCGCACCTGAGTGAACTCAATTGCCTGACCTGAAGGTGTCAATGATTCATCCTCTTTTCATTGGTTACTGTTATCAGAAGCCTGCCATCCGCTCACGCATCCACACGCTAAGACGCCCATAAACGGTTGTGTCCTCTGTCGCCTCCCTTCACTCCATTCTCGGGTTGCTACAGGCTGTTAACTAGAGGGTTGTGAGGTAGTGCTGATAAATTCACTACAAGCCCTTCTCTGTCAGTAGGCCTGTACTCCACCAAACTATACACGCTCAGCCGCTTTAGCAGGAGCAGTTTTGTAAGGCAACACAAAGTGACGATTCATGGCAAAGGTCGGTCAGCAACTGGCCAAAAACAACTATGTCGATCGAGCGTAGAAAAACCGATCCATGGTACAGGAGGCGCGAAGGAAGAGGAGTTCGTTCCGCATAGGGCCAACGAAAAAAGGGGTCTTGCCGAAAGCCTAAGCACACTAGACGGTCAGCTAAAACATGGCGGCGGAACTTGGCGAATCATCAAAGACGAACATCGCTGCCACGAAAGTGTTCTGGTTATGCACAAATTCGCATGTGAAATTTTTTAGCAGAGTGGTTTGGGAATGTCATTTGCACGCGCTTTAAGATGCCTTACTGATATCACTGCTTCAGTTGAAAACACCATGCCTGTCAACAGTCGTGTGTACATGCATGCGACGATATCAGATTAGGCGCAAGTCAAAAAAGCCCCCACAGTGGTTGCATGAAGTACTTCTTGGAGGCTGTGCGGTTTACCTGATGTGGAGCCAATGAGGTGGACTCCTGGGTGTTGCGCCTGATCTCAAAGGAGCTCGGCAGGTCGGCCAGTACGGTGGGCGCGACGGTGTAGGTGGGGAAGGGGTCCTCCTGGAGCACGGGGGAGGCGCTTCGCGGCGCCGCGGGGAGTCCGCCCGCGCAGTCGGCCAGGGGCGACGATGGGTGGGTGGGCGACGAGCCACCCGACACGTCGTAGAACGTGTCGTCGTCATTCAAGTTACTCGCCGGCGACATCTCGGGGTAATCGTCGTCGACGTCAATTGTGGTGAAGTAGGAGTCGTCGGGACCGGGGCCGGACAAGTCGCCCATGTGATTCGACCGGCAGAAAATGCTGCCCCCGTTCGGGGACATTACAGAGGCGTCTAGTGGGGGAAGTGTCGAGACGCTGAAAAACGACGAGTGAGTAGCAACGATTGAGAGGAATTAACATCGAGTGGTAGAGTGGAAAATAACTAACAGGGCAATAGGGAAAGTTAGAACTAAGAGATAGCATGTGAGGAAATTAAAAGTAAAAAAGGCGGTTCCCCGTTTTCTGCGTAAGGTGCAGTAAAAGTCGCATAGTTTAATAGCCTCCATACATAAGAACTAAACACCCTTGCTAGTTTTCCGGAGTCCATGAAATAAAGTATTTGGCAGGAAACCGAAACGTCTTCTTAAACAACACATATTTGAAGCCACCTCTACACTTTCCTACCACCTATAATATGCTAGGCCCGTGTTAATAATGTGAATGGTGCCAATCAGGTCTACTACTAATATCCACAACTATGAAGTCCGCAAAATGGTACTATTTACTCTACCCTAGTAAAGCAAATTGCAAGTTGTAGTGAACGCATACAAATCAAAATACAAAGACAATTTACATCATTCTACCATCGGCTCCACAGGAAAGGCAAGACTGATTTCCTGGAAGAAGTGAGATGGCCACCACAGCCACAGACGGTTTGTGAACCTAAGGGTAAAAATGCAAATATTAACTATCTACCTAAATTGTGTTCAGTAAAGTGCTATTATCGAACCTGATGAACAGCGACTTCATAGCCCGAGGTGACATCCAGGATGATTATTCGCCCGTCCGAAGTGCCCACGAAACGTCGATTGATCGAGCGATCTTCACTGGGTTTCGTTCGACGTCGGAGAGACGGCGGAAGTAAAGAATAGTCGGCTTCAGCCGCGATAGCTGTTATTTTATCTTTTCCAGTTCGTGTGGCCCAAACAAGCTCGGAGCCTGTACTGCTGCTGTTACTAAAGACGATGAATTAATAAAAAAAACTGTTAAATAGAGGTTTTCAACAGAGAATTATTAATTTAAGGATTATTACATGGTCGAAAATATTGGGCGATGCCCCATATCTGTGAATTGTCGAGCAATCGACCTTGATTTGGTGTCGGTAGCTGAAATGCTACCAAAGAGCAACAGAAATGGATAAAGTATGGTAGAAGCCAGGGAGATCCAAGCACTAAACTAGAAGTACTAGAGGTACACTCTCACTGCTTCACACTTGCCACACAAGTACGACTTATCCAGGTCATTTCAAACAAGCAACTAGAATAATGCCCGTAAGTAAACCCCCAGTTCCGAAACGGGAGTTTGTAATGCGATATAAAATACAGATTATGGAATATCCGATGGTTGAGAACCGCACTACCAAGAGGGAGCGGGTATCTAAGAAAGTGAAGTACATTTCACATCTAAACTAACCGATGTTAGTTCCTGTTGAATACGCAACTTGTAAGAGACGATAAAGCATGCGTAGCTGCGCCTGTGACATAGTTTTACTCACCTCCCCCTCCGGGATACTTTTAACCACCCACCTGATTAAAACACGACAAAAAAGAGCGAACGCCGGCATTCCACAAGTGTCCTCAACTGACTCAAGACTTAGCCGCTGATTGAGTCCAGTTACGATATAGGGGTACGCTGATTGAGTATAAAATCAGCCCTAACGCATAAAGGATACTACATCTGCGACCAATTCATAAGCTCAATTTCAAGTAAGTATGTTGTGAATGGTGTTTATTCACACCCCTTAATCCAGTTGCTCTGTCTCCGACACAGGGTTCGCCCTTTTCGCAGCATGCCCCAGCCATTAATAAGTTTTTAAAAAGTTGACAACATCAACAGCTGGACAGAGCGCGCCAACGTTCTCTATGTTACCTCCAGAACCAGTAGTACTTGGGCGCCACTGCAACGTTCTGCTTCAACCCGACCGCGGCGTCACCAGCTCCGAGGAGGCTCAGTGACTGTTGAAAGACGGCATTGTCGGGCGGGAACATGAGGCCCAATTGAAGGAGGTCCAGACCCTTCACCATGAGGTCTTTCCGGGGCAGACGCACGCTGTAGCGGTGGCGGTCCACCACGTCGGCCCGTGCCCTGACCGCGGACGCGGCCGCGGCTCGAAACGTCGGCGGCGACGGCGAGCTGTGGTGGCTCGCCGCGAAGGCGTCGGGAGTCATGCTCTGTCGGCAGTGCTCCGCGCCCACCGCGCCTCTGCGTGGGGCGCTGCTCATGTCGCACAGCGACCCCGGCCGGGTGGGCGAGCGCGCGTGCCGGTGGAGCTCACGCACCACTCGGTCCGGATTGATGAGCTGGTAGGCGGTCGTTTGCAGAAAGTGAAGGTACATATACCTAAAATGAATGGCAGGCGAAATAAGCCGTGGAGTTTTGTCTACTCAACTGTTCTCAGTACCGACTTTGATCGAATGGCGGCTATAGGCTTGAATACTTAAAAGGCGTCGATCAGTTGCTTGGCTGACACAGGATGGTTGAGGAAAAAATAGGTTCAATTTCGGATATTAACATGACGGATTAAGAAACTTGGACAAGCACACACACCTATCAATCAGCAAAGGCCTGCCCAACAAAGCATTTTTGATGCCACTGTTTACTATTAGGCACTCCAATAAGAATGAAAGGCCAAAGCAGAAAGCTAGCCATTTAGAGCTAGGGGAATTCGAACAGGTTTTTGGAGTAGGCGGGAGTCGAGAAAGTCGTCCAGAACTAATTACGGGGGTAAAACACGTCGTGTCAAACGCAGGGCATTTATTGTGCGCAAAACAGGCAACGACTCACCAGTCATTTAGTCGGCCAAACTCCTGGAAGACGGGCTGGAACCGACGGAAATCAGCGACCACGGCGGACGAGCCGAGAACAAGCAGCCGGGCACAGATGAATTTTAGGTCAGTTAGCAGATCGATGAGGCCGGCCAGTCGTCCGGCCTTGAGCATGTGCTCCCCGACGGAACGGCAAAAGTAGGTGTGGATGAGCTTGAAGTCCGCCAGCTGGGCCCAGTGTTCGCCGAAGCAGGCCTTGTAGTTGTCGATGAACTGGCAATGGCAGGCCTGAAAAGCACAGTTTTAGTAAAACAAACTGCCATTTTTACTGGACTCAAACATTTACGCTCTTCGATGAATTGGTGATTTGTGGCATCATCAAGGCTACACAACAACACAACTTGCAAGCAAGGCCTCAACTGCAGACTTGATTGCCAATGGTGAAGCTACTCGTCAATCCTATTCCACGTTAGCACTTACAAATGATGGTAAAGAGGTGACGAGAACAAGTGGAGATGTGGTGAGTCGTATTGATTTAAGTGCACTAACTTGATCGTCGCATATTCAGACTAACGGTATGATCTTACATCCCAGTGCGTGTACCCTCTCCCTCCGCTGCGCATTTCATTTACGTAGGCAGCATTGATGAGACACAACAACACAACCAAGCTGTCACCTAGCAAAGAATGTTGCCTTTGTCAGCTCCTGTCAAAAGTAAAAACCGTTAAATAGCCAGATGCGTGAAATGAGTAGCGGGGGCGGAGGGGGGGGGCTACATGCACGAGGGCGTACGAACAGACGGCTCTGCATGATCGATAGGGGATTCGCTAGAAGACTGCTACATGCAGGGATTAGCGTGTAAGAAGCCAAATGTTAGGAGACGAAAGCCCGGCCGGAGGAATGAAAGTCTATAATGACCCTGTTGCCACCAACGGAGCGAACAGAACGAGAAATACAGAACAGAATGGTGGTTCATGTAGTAATACTAATTAAGAGACACTGATTTGATTCTGACGTATTGTTGGCTGGTGGTGTTGAACAAAGACAAACGTGCCTGTTGTTGGCTGGTGGGTATGGTGCTTCGAAGGAGGTCCAATTGGAGGTTCGGTAGCGAGAAGACACTTCGGCCCATTCCTATCTCCCACTTGCATTGAATCAGGGAGAAGCGGTGCAGGCGTTGAAGCAAATCCAAGGCTTCCTGGTTTGTGCAGGACCAATAAATTGCGAACACCTACAAAGAAGAGACCAACGCGTCGCCTCTGCACTCCAAACAATACGCTCCCGAATAAACCCAAGATCCGGTAAACCACAGTTGCAAATCGCTGGTGTGCATTCTACCAAGAGGCGGACGATTCAACCACACAAAGGGCTTAAGAAACGACGACCGGCCACCCACATACGCCATACGAGTCCGCCTCACAGTGCAATTATTGGTAAAATTTGCAAAACGTTACCAGACAATACTCACTGACATCTGGTTACATTGTACAATCCTATAGAAATTTGTATCGTCTTAGCAATAGAATGCACGTTGCTGCTTCATACCCAATGTAAACAATTCTGGAACTAATGCCTCAACTCAAGTGCGGGCATGTAAGAAACAAGCAATACCGGCATGATGCCTGATGAGTTATAAGTAAATAATCGTAAATCGCATGACATAAGCTGCAGACTGCACACTCTATAAACCGTTAGGGGTCGTGATGGCTGCATTTAGTAGCAGGCCTGGGGCAAAGCAGACCCGACACTTCTATGGCTCGAAAGAGGAGGTACAGACAGACAAGTAGACAACGGGTAATAACTGAGCACTCCATGTCGGCAGTGATGCGCGACCGCTGACCAAAACCCGACTGTTACAGGAAGCAAGTCTACGCAATAGGTACGGAGCCGTCGATGTGGAGGCAAATCTTGACACCAAACTGATCTCATTGACCGTGTGATCTAAATACCACGAGTCTGTCCCGTTCACATGGCGCTTCACCGTTACCGCAAAGCACGAGGGCTTCATATGAAATCGTCGGAATTAAGTGTGCATAACAACCAACGAACATCATTAAAATCATGTGTTAAATTCCGTGCTACATCTGACCCTATTGATAAAAGTAATACTCCGAGAATTTGACTCCAGAATTGATTCCAAAGAGGTGACTCCATCAAAGAAACCACCACCTACTTTGACAATACGACCGAACAGTCAATTGTCGGTAGGAGCGGTAAATTGATATATCGCGTAACTGCTTGACACGCATTTCGGCAAGGCGACAGATTAATCATGCTCTTTGATTCGCATAAGTGCGCCGACAGTGAGCCGGAAACGCCCTTTTCAGGGTGTGCGATTGACGAGGCACAAAACGCCTCAGGTTTGACGATATTGCTGACCTACGAAGTCAACTCGTTGAGTACACAAAAAGAGAGCATAGCCCACGGGAATCGACTGCACGAGTAAATAATTAGTTGCTTGCGCTTTAGCTGACTATCAGTGTCGGAATCATTGTGTCGAATTATCGAAGCGACGGCTAACAAAAGCTAATACACCTGTGAACGATGACTTTCCGACCCCAAGAAATTACTATGTAATTTTCCTGTTAGTAAGATGTACCACGGCAGTGCAAAGTCCAACATGCTTCTGGCATTACAAACGGTAATTCCTTATCCACTCATCGATTGCTATTGTTCCGACATTCGACAGTGACAGTACCATTGACGGTTTTAAGCGTTCTAAAGTGATCGAAAAAAGATGATGGGTGTTGTACAAGAATCGTTGAACGGACTTACCGCTAGCGAAAGGTAATGCTCAGGAAATACCGAGCCCTGACCAGGTTCAAATTGCGTGCACACTTCACGGCTATTTTTAGGAATTTGTCTATGGAATGGACAATAATTGCGACAAGACGCCTTCTCACCAGACGCGCTTTTAATCGTCAAAATAAGGCACGCATCGCGGCATACCTTTTTTTACTTCAAACCGCAGTAAAGTGCACACATGGAATTTGTTTGTTCCCAAGGTGTGCAACTTAAGACATGGAAATCAGACTTGAACAGCCACGCCAGCTTGCGCTCGCATCAGAAAGGCGCTGGCTACCAAAAACGACTGTCAGGCAAGTTAAGGTTGCCGTTGCCAAAGTGCATGACACCCTTTGAGCGTGCATCAACCCGTTGGAACTTCGCTTGGGATTTTACTCGATCCCAGATTTTAGCAACTGCTCGACGGTAGCTGACGCCTGCTTGTCAACAGGTAGAAAGCGCGCGTTATAGTTTATCGTTTAAAAAGTTTAAGCCAGGATGAGACGACAGAATTGGGAGCATAGACAGTAATTGAACTAACAAACGCTAACACCAGTAAAACAGATGGCGTCGCCTGACGCGTCACGAATCGAGCCAACGCAAAGAGGAGAAGGATCTGACAATAACGGAGGTGCTAGCCTGATAGCCTGGTAAGGCGAATTACGAAAAGGTTCGTCCAATTCGATGCTCAATTTGCCAAATAACTCACTCACGCAGGCTAAATGTGCTTCGCATTTGACACCTACGGGACAACGACTGGATTGGTTGCTTTGTCGGCGCAACATGAGAGACCGTTCAGGCCGTGCATTCGAATTCCAGCGACACATACTGAAAGCGGAACCCAAACACAACTGCCATGACTTCTGAGCAAAGCGATGCCTTTTAAATTACATGAAAATTCTGGTCTTTTAATAATAAATGCAGTTAAGCAAGTTGTATTGGTTGGATAGGAGTAGGCATAATATAAAACCACACGTTCTTTTTACAACTGACGCAAGGAAGCAGCTGATGCATCCCCATTTTAATGAATGAACAGTTTAAAATTAACATGTTTACTCGAAAATTAAGTACTTGCGAGTGCGGAACATATCCTTTGAAGTCAATTCATGTACCGTGCTGCCAGTTAAATAGACAAGGTGAGAACACACGAATGCAATCCCAAAGGCTTCAGCAGAAATTCTACCCTCCTGAAATGTACTTTTAGCAGTTAGCGCCACAAAATGCCATAAAATTAACCGAACGCGTGATAAGTGAACTTTTGTTTACCAGGGTTATTAAATTATCGCGCCCACGGGCACGAAACACGAAAATAGGACCAAAAATAGCAGCGCACAACGTTCCACAACCGAACCTCTTGGTTTACTGTTTCAGTATCGCTATCCTGACATTCGATGCTCAAAAAGAAAATCAAGTGGGCAGAGAGGAGGGGGGCTGGGGCACCAGGTGGTGGAGCACAGAGGCGGCTGAGGGCGGCATTCAAAGCACGCTGGAAGTCACAGATACCTGAAATAAACTCTCAAGTTGTACCGATTCCTTGGTGAAGCACACAGGCAATTTTAGATAACCTCCCCGAAAACTGGAGGAGGAGCCTCATTTGCTGGTAATTTGGGTTCCGATTTAGGCGAAGCAGTTTGTAGACATCATCACACAACATATTTTGCGCACAAAATAGTCCAGAGCGGATAAGACCACAATGAGTGCCAAGTTTCCGCCCATTACCTGCTCCTGAACAAAATTTACGTCCTTGTTTGGCGGTGGCGCAAATGTTGGTGGAGGTGCAACATTCTAACGGGCGAGTAGAGCTGCATGAATTTACCGAAAGACCGCGCACAGCCTGATTGGCTGAGCTTAAAAACTGCCATCTAATCGAGACAATCACCGTACAGCCAAGTCAATGACTTCGTTTCTGTTCTTTTTTAAGGCCAGAAACACAAGGCTTTGTGGTCGGTGCCATAATTGACGCAGTTAACAAGACTATGTATGCCATAAATTTAAAATAAGATAATGAAACTTCGGTGGGAGTTTTGACAGTGACCAGGTAATTAAAGGCGTTAAAAGTGTTTAATGAAAGAACACATATCATGGTTTAGCGAGTGAAATATAAGCAAGTAGACTTACATCTTCTGTAAGGGGACAGTCATCTTGAAAAATAACGAATTGGCGATATCGCTCCAATTCGATTTCGGAGAGGCGAGTGAGGCTGGCGGTGATAGACTACAAGAATTTAAAATAGCTGGCAACAACAAGGTTAATGTGGTGAACAATTCAGGCCGAGTTGACGTGGGTGCTTACTGGAAGTGGATCTTGAGGTACAAACGTCTTGGTGACAATAGATATCGACAAACATCCGCAAGTGCAGGCAGTAAGCACGTTTACTAACAGTAGGTTTGTTTGTTTAGAGAAAAGTTCTGCTTGAATTATCTGGGCGTGCGTGCGGAACTCCACGGGCCCCTGCATGTTTCTAGTCAGTCGCATAAATTTGCCACCAGAACGCCAAAAAAAATAAACGATGAGTGTGATCCAGTGAGCGGAAAGCTGTTGCCATAATTAGCACCAGTTATGGCATAGTGGCAGTAAGCACGCGGTTGGAAAGACGATAAACCCAGTGAAGGAAAGTGCGTAGTTGTGAGAGACAACTGTTCAAACTGGTAGGGATTTCATGACATGTCTGTAGCTAAGCAAGTGTCTTTAACAATTGGAAGAACATAATAAACCTACACTGTAAAGCCATGCAACAATAATGAGAACCACGTTAAAGGGGTTATTGGAAATTATCCCCGGTGGTACGCCAATGACCAACTTGAAAAGATTACAAACGCCGTCGCAACAAAAAACGACAAAATGGAACAAGTAAATACGAATGACACATTCCTGAAAAACAATAACCTGGCCTTTGAGTAAATATCGCCCAGAAGATGGAAGTAGGAAAGTAAACAAGGCACGGAGTTAATGTTGAAAGAAAATTAAAATTTAAAAGTCATTTATGGGCATTATGCAAATAAAAGGCATCTTTCTACTACAGTTTATTTAACGAAGTTACTAAAAGGAAGTGGTTTTGTTCTCAGCCTAATCGTTCATAAAATTGATGAAATACATGAGATTTGGTTTGACAATCAAACACCTTAGAAACCCAAAAACACCGTTTTAAAGGCTTATAAAAGGCATTTGGAAAATGCGTTAAATCGAAGGCCTTACTTGGGCGAAATCAACTAAGCAAATTAAATGGCACTAAAGCTGATATCGAAATAGTGCCAATGATTTCCTCCATGTAACATTAAATGATTATGAGAGTCCGCGTGAGAATAAAAGAGCAATAGCTGCTACTGCTGGGATGAATTGACATCTCGCAATCACGTGAACAAATGACAGTATTAGTGGCCACGCCCACTTTCGAAATTTGTCGTAGACACAGGACGATACGTCGGTAACTAAAAAAGGGAAAACTTACCGCGGGGTGACCGACCCATAATTATTACTACTACTAAACAATGTTGTGTGTGTGTGTGTTGCAAACAAAAAGATTTGCGTTTTGGACATTAACTGAAAAAATTGTGTAATGAACCTCTGGTCCGATTCGTATACATCAGGTCAACTGTGTATGTACTGATAGGGGGGAAGGGATGAACTTGATTTTGTTCAACAGATTTTTTCGCTGTCACAAAACACATTGGAGGAGCACTTACTACGCGAACGAGTTGATTTTTAGTTATCTAGAACACTGCCACATTGAAAAAGGCTGCCTTTGAGAGAAAACATCTCACCTGTGGGGCACCAACTGTGGGGATAGATTTAAACATTTGCAGGGTTAGGGTGCAACATGACCAACTCTAAGGGTACGTGACAGCCAACGGCTTTTTTACCTAAGAGAACAACTTTGTCGAAGTTTCTTTAAGAAAATGCTCAAATATTAAGCCGTCACAATCCGTACTTTGTATGACGATTCATTATGGGCACCGGGAATGGATTAAAACTGTCCATTTGATTTTCCCTTTATCCACAAATTTCGGCCCACGTTGAAACTGTCATTTGCATTTTTGCGAATCAAACTTTTGTTCTGAGACAAGAGGGCTCAATGAACACTTAAAGGTGCTTTACAATATCGCTAAACAAGTAAAGTTGGTTGAATTAAATCCACAACCAATAGATGCTACTCAAAACGTGGAAATCTCAACTTCGCTTGCTTTTTCCTGTATTATGTCGTCCAAGTGGCATTTTTTAATCTAAATACCTGCCCAAATGATCCTTTGAGAATAAATATGATGCGTCTGTGACACTTGTAGATTTAAAATTTAGTCGTTCAGCTGAGCATATGACGGATGTCGACTTTCTCAAGTGAGTGTAACTTTGAACGACAGCGTACCCACACCAGATGGAAAAAAATTTTTGTGGACTCGGGCCCCTTCAAAATGATGATCAAAAGGACCAAAAATCAGCTGAGAACTGAGGTGTTTGGTACAGGTGTCTCAGTCAGGAAGGCGCGTCGTTGTCGGATCAAATTCTACCCATAAAAGGGTTGTCATCTGTAGGAACGAATGTGAGGAGCATTTCAGAGGCAAAAGATCCCGGCCAGACCATGCCGGCGAATATTTCAGGGCCACGAACACCCCAAAGCCGCGTACCTGCGCTGACAAAAAAGCCGACAAAAGAACGCACGCCTGGCGCGTTCAGACAACAGCCCATGACGTAATACGCACACCACCGCACGCGCACTACAGACATCGCGTTTAAAAAAATTAATGGCTCGTTGCTCAGTTTAATGGCTATACACTTCATCTGAAAAGCAATCAATAACCTGAAAGAATAAAACCGAGCTGAAAAGCAGGAGATCGCTACATTCGTTTCAATCAACAACCTTTAGTGCCCAAAAGTACATACTTAAAAAAGAGGGGATACAAAATTCGAGTGTTCTCACCTCTTCGACGGATTCATACGTGTACCAGGAGGGGTATTTGACCTTGGACCAGTCGATGATAATCTCGCCCTTGGAATTGCGGGAGCCGCGGGGGTCGAGGTAGCGGGAGAGGTTGAAGGTGGGCGAAGACAGGAGGCCGCCGAGGAGGGAGGCCGCCAGCGGGGAGCCGCGACACAGCGAGGGGATGTCGGCGTGGAGCGCGCCAGGCCCGAGGAAGCACTCGCGCGAAATGGCCGCTCGGATGGACATCAGGAGCGCCACGTCGTCGTCTTTCAGGTCCGCTTCTATGCACTCCTGCAACACCAAGACCACTCGAAGGTGAAAGGGAGAAGAGCGCACAAGCAATCAATGTTACGAGCAGGTGATTGTGCAAGTGCATTAACCGCATCCCTGCCAACAGTTGAAAAACCTGACGCTACATTTGCTCACTTGCAACAGACGCCAACTTTTTAAGAAAAAACTCAATTATCCACCAGTTACTTATTCCCAATTCGCTCGCAGCAGAATGTCCATTCCCACTTACTAAATGTACTACAGTTGTTGACCGAACCGAGACATCATTGTTCCCGAGTTTCGTGTTGGGAGCAAAAGTGTCTCAGTGGGCGGGCCTTACGAGAGGACAAGCCTCAAATGCACATAGCGAAGGTGGCCGAAGAAGTCGTAGTTGCTTCCCCTCGTTAAGGTTTAGTGGCCTGTGGTCAAGTGCACTACCTCAAATAACGATAACCGGCACTAACGGATACGACGGACTCGGACCCAGTATTTCACAGAACAAAAGCGCGCGCAAACAACACAGGCTGAACCGTGTAACGGAGATGCGAGATGTACCTGGTGTCAGGATGCATTGTTTGGTCACAAAATCTGTAGAAAGTAATTGCGGAATAGCTACGAATACTTTAAAACCCTAACTGCCTATACTTTTGCGCATCAACTTTCGACCAGATGATAATAAATGCAACAAATAGGATACTCATGAGATAGCTTATTGACAGTTACAAGAAAACCTATAAAATAAACAGCAAGATGTAGAGCCTTTACAATATTTTAACCGGTGCAACCTCTGAGACTTATCCGATAAAAATAAACACTCGTAACGAAGTCGTCGATTAAAAATTATAGCATAAATGGTCAAATTTTAAAACCTAAAATCGATGTTAATTTACATATCAATTGATACAATGGTTTCTTTGGGTTTGAAGACACGGAACGAAAAATCGTTATTTCAAAACCCGCCGGTACGGCTTAACAAAACAACGATTAACAAGCCAGCAGATGTGGCACTGTTGGGGTCAACATCGGCATTTGTGGGTCCACAGTGCCCAGAATTTCCGAAGGGTCTAAAAGTTTACTGCATCATTGAATGGAAACCAGAGGTGTTGGTATTTGAATTAACATTTCAAGTCTAATCACAAATCCGGTCATCCCACAGGAAAAGAAATTCTGCACGTTACAGAAAATCAACACTTTCGGCTTTTGGTAATGACTAAAAAGCTGTTGAGTGATCCGTGAAGTGACTTACTGTTATACAAATGATACTTTAAAGGGAAGATAACCCAAGGATGTTACTAAAAAGGCCTGAAAATTCAAGTACTCTCATAACTTGGGAGGTCAGTGAACACGATGAGCCAACTGTATTTAGAGTCCACCGAGGCAGCTTCGACTGTTCGATGTGCGTGTATACAATGTAATTGGTATTTCAAGTGATTAATGACCAAAACTGCCGCCTACACGTGTGTACTTGCTTTAACATAACGCCGGAATTCTTGAATTCCATTGAAGAAAACAACACCTGGTACCGGGCTGCCTTCAGAGGAAAGCGCTGTTGCAGAGCGCCTACCCCAAACACAGACCGGAACGTGCAGGCAATCACAAAGCCACAGCTTAGGAAAGAATACCATTGGCAACCCCCTGAACAAGACCACGCATGAAGAGCTTCCAACTTCTCCATGGGTACAATACCCCTTTTCAGCTCGCATCTCATAGGCCAATTCCTCATGCAAAGGTCACACACGCCCAAGAGGATAATTCCACATTGATTAGCGTAATCCGACACATTTAACTTATTTCCTACTGAAATTTAATGTAATATGGAGATCCAGACTTTAGATATTTTGAATGCGTGTGTTCTTTATTTTGAGGGCCCTCATATTTTGTCATGTTTTCATGCTTTCCGTTCAAATTTGTACTTATTCGATGGCCAAAATATGTGGGCAGTCAATGGTATTCCACATAACACTACCTCTACTTAGCGTCTCACAATTACGGCGAAAGCAGCACAATACAGCAAAGTGCATAAATGTGGCAACTTTCAGCAACTTCAATTTGAGGTCAAGATCTTGCGAATAGACCGTTGTTAACTTGCACTGACTCCTGGCTTAGGAAGCAAGGATACACGAAACTATTCGCGAAAATGTAGGAGTTATTTTGGTAAAATACGTGAACATACCCTTCTTACGCGTGTTGAGACCCGTTGTAGAATATTCATGTCACGCGACGTAACGACAAATGCCGCCGGTAGAGTGCTGAGTGCGCTGACAATGAAGTCGTCCCAGACGTCGTCGAGGACGATTAAAAGCAGCGAAGCGGGAGCCAAAGACTGATGATTGGAAACCTGTGCCCGTCGATATTGTCGTGTAATCAATAAATTATGAAGATAAGACGTCATCCTGTTCACATCAGAGTCGTTTGGTCGGTAGATCTCTTTCCTCTCATCGCTGCTATTCTTAAAAGGCCGGCTTTGCGATGGGAGCGCAGTCACGTGTTCCGTCAAGGCAGAGAGCACCTCCATCACTTGTTGACTCAGCTCTACATCCTTCTTCTCCCCGACACGCAGCCAGATAACTCCTAAGTCATACATTTTTATTATCAAAGACAGGGTTACCCCCAGAAAACATATCAGTAAGCAATTGGCTATTTTGACGTAGGACGGCAGCAGTCATGACTGACTTGCCCTGACCAGGTGGGCCATAGACAAGAAACCAGGCATTTGTAGGGATATCTGGTAGAGTTGTGCTGTCGACATCCAATGAACCAAATTGGCGATTGGTCGGAGGCGGAGAAAACTGGGTGCCCAGCCACCTGAATCCGTCTGTAAGCTTAGCAATTGTTTGTGGTCTGTTAATGTAAGCAGTGGGTCGATCGGGTACGGCACCATGCAACAGAGTCTGGAGGATATCTGTTAGGCTAGATTGGGGACCTCTAAAGAAACTATGAGGGAAAATAACACGATCTACTTAGAGCATGGTGCCTTTGCTAGTTGGTCTTCAAGAATTCTAGCCAAAAAGGGCTGTTTCTCTGAAAGCGCCCGGTGGAAACACTCGAAGGCTTCATTGGACTTTGTGAGAAGGGTGTCCAGAAATAGTCGTACTTTACCGGTTGACGTAACTTCATGCAATATCCTTTCACATTCATCACGAGAAACATGGCCCCCAGCAATTAGGTGATCTAGAATATCAACGGTACTCAGACTTTGAACAAGCGCGGGGTAGCACTTTGTTAGGGCATCCAGCTTGTTCGAGTCCATAGTAACGAGGCGTTCCAGATAGAAATAGGCCGAACAAATGTTCTCTAAATAAAAGCATACGAAAGCACTTTAAATAAATTATATGATTAAGAGTAAAAAGTAATTATGAGAATTACACCTGGGGCCTATCACACATACTGCATGAAGTTGTGGTAGTGGTTAGTAAATAATGTGCTAACACTAAACAGGAAGAAAAGCAAGTTTATGGTTCTTAGGGAATTCAACGAAATAAGTATAGACGATAGAAAAGTTATTTCTCAAATTAATAGTTTCAATAAAATGTTATTTCACTTTCAAACGATTAAATTTAATTGTACACAAACAAACATACAACTAAATGATGAGCTAGATTAGAGCTTGAACTTCATGCGCGAAGTACTATGTACATTTTCAGGAATAAGGAAAACTACAGAAACAGGTTAATCCACGTTTACGAGGTGTTGCTGGAGTCAGTAGGTTCCGTTGGGGTGCGAAACTGTGCATTTTACACAACTCTGATGTCCAAACAGCAGACGACGCCCAGAGGCGTCAAGTAAAAGAGAAAACTAGATGAAAAAGGATAAGCCAGAAACGACAAAATCGAGTTGATGGTGCATGGACATGGTGATATGTATTTTATTTCCACAGAATATACTATTAAATGGCCAAGAATGCAATAAGCAGTTATGATGTAGGAGTATCTTGGAGGGTGGCACAAATAAGACATAGAAAATCACTACCCAATTAATCAAGAGCACATGTAATCCCAAACACCAATACAACAAACATAAAATGACGAATCCACAATTGAAGACATGCTGGTTGAAACATTTATTTAAGTCCTCTAATTTTTTTTTGACATACAAGTCCGGAAGGCTTTTACTTTGTCTTGGCACTTCCGCCAATCCTTATGTTCGAACATACACTCCATAATGTCGTTGTGTTCATTAAGACAACCTGTACGCTTGATCATTTTAATGACTTCATCCTCTTCTTCATCCTCGTCGACCGGGACCTTGACAGTCTCATACGAATGCCCACTCATATCAATAAAGAGCCTTTACGTCATTGGGTGAACCAAAACCCAATCAGCTCGGGGTGACTACGTTTAACACAACGCGCAATCAAAAAAGATTTTAAACAAATCTTTCACTGATTTATGAAAAATAAAATTACTATTACGTAATAACATCACACGATCACTATCAGACTCCCACAAACATGCAACACGCTACATTTTTTCTCAAGTTCAAAGTCTTTAGTTTATAAACTAAATGGTAAAAACATCGAAAGAGTTTAAAATACTGGTTTAGGTTTTGTTAAAGGAAATGCAAGACGGGTTCATTAAGTTATAACATTATCCAAGCTGACATAAAGTAAAAGTAAAAAGCAAGTCATTTGAATGACTAAAAATTTATTTAATATATACCAGTAAATATGACTTTGTGCATAACATTATTACTTCTGTGTTATTTCTAGCACATAGGAGTGTAAAATATTAGGAGATTTTGGCAAAAAATGCTTATTGAACATTTTCGTTAACAGGTAATAAATTGAACTGATGAAATGACGTCAGCAGCATAATAAAATGCTCATGCATAAGTGCATTTGGTTCAATTAATTTACAATTGTGACAAATGATGTCTTTTAAATTAAATTAAAATGTTTTTTTTTAAAAAAGATAAATTTCGTTTTAATGAATAAAAAGATTAAAGAGCGTAGCAACAAACGCCGTGTGTTCTTCAGTTTGCAAATGTCAAGGTGAGTTTTGGTTTTTGCCACTGATTTAAAGAACAAAATTTGGTGGATTTTCTTGGCAGTGATAGGATTAAAGAACAGATAAATGAATGTGCACTCTGCAAGGCCGAGGAATCGATAGCAGTGAAAAAAAAATATAACTGCGATTGATGAAGCACGTCATATCTTCTCTTTTAAAATATTGCTACCTTTTAAATTGATTTATAATATCGAGTTATTTCCTTTTAATTTTAGATTTTTAATCATTTAAATAACTTTGTAGATATAGCCTTTGCAGTTCTGTAGTTGAATTTCTAGGTAAGCGTTGGTTTCGACGTAAAAGCTCTCTAGAATTTTCACAATCATGATTGCCATATCACTTAATTAATACAGCTAAGTGAAGCAAATTATGCTTTTTTTGCACTTTAGTTTACAAAGAAATAGTTCATTTGAGTGTAAATATATTTTCTAAAAATAAGACAGACCTTTTAATGAACTGTGTTAATACATTTCAGTGATTGTAGTAGCTATGCCAATTAAAAATAAATTATTTGTTTGGAAATTATTTAATGTTCGTGTGTTCTTAATATTCATGCATGAAATGCAACGGATTTGCCATGCGTGCTAGCTTAATTTTTAATTTGTCTCTGTAACTTATTTGCACGGCTGAAAATATTTAAATGCCGTAGAAATTGACTTACTCTTGCCAGAGTCCGTTTGATTACTTAACCCAAACACAATCGTGCAATCAAAGATACCTACACATCATTATGTAACTCTGAATACCACTACTACATTTTCATATGGACAGGACGAATAAACATGCACATATTGTTTTAACTCGAGCTTCTAATTCTGAATCTGGTTGCTAACAATTCTATAGTAATCATCTAAATAACGATTTGTTTGGTATCTATGTAGAGTCCTATGTGCTACTGGTAATGCCATATTTCCATACCAGGACTAAACTCTGCAGTTTCATGAATTTCATTGTGAGATAAATCAGAACCAAAATGTCTTCATTGATCGACTTAACATTCTTATGTCACCAAATATTTTTAGGTTTGCTGGTTGCAACTGGAAGCCCTAGTACCAGTTTATACTCGAAACAATTTTCGCCTATTTGCTTTAAATATATTTGTGATGATTTCGTTTAAATCAATAACATTGTCGTCAGTAGTAGTGTAACTGACAATGGTCTACCTAAACAAAAGCATTTTTTCAACTTCTTAACATCTATTAAATCTCATCGAGTCCACTGTGAGCATGATCTGCCTTAATGTTCTTTACATTGTTCAAAAAATTGTACGTGATGACTGAACTAGATCAAAAATTTCTGCTATTAATGATATTCTACTAGCTGCCGTTTTTACTTCGTTATGTGATTTAAAAAGAAGCATCAAGCTGTTCTTTGACAAATGTTTGATGCTGCTCATTTATTCATGCTCAGCGAAATCTGCGGTGGCGTTGATACTATCCTAAGCAGAAATTAAAATTATTATTGAAATACAAACGTGACTAGTATTTAAAATACTGATGACACGATTCAACAGCAGAACTTAGGGGTTAATTTGAATTAATGCAATTCGGCTTGTGTGTGTATGTGTATTTTTGATGCAGTTTGCAGTGAGAATTGCCAAGTGCTTGGATTAGAGTGCCAATTTTTCTTCTCCTTCCTTTTACGCGTTCTGAAAAGTAGCCACTCAATAAGTAGTTCTAATCAGAGTATTCCAAAATGCCTTTTAAATTGATAATGCTGCAGTTATAATTTCGTCCACTTGACTTATTTCTTTTTAAAATATTTCTTTGCAATGTTATATTTTGACACCTACTTATTATTAAGTGCCATTATTATATTTTTAACTTGTGCATCAGTCCTATTGTAGGATATCTATTGTACAGTTATACATGTTCTTGGCATTGTCTCAAAATATTATTCCACGCGACGAATTCGGATATTTTTTAAACAAACTATAATTATATCCACTAACTATAGTTGCCTTTTTTTCAAGTGCTGGCCTCGCTCAATAAAATCGGACTGTTCCCTTTTAACTCCTAACTTGTTCGTCTTATAAAACAAACATCTGGTTATTTTGTGAATTCTGTGATATTTTAAGTTTGGGGACAGAAAAACAAGTTCATCAAAGCTACAATTAGAAGTTATTATCAGTCGCATAATTAGATTCGCAATGAAATTAAAATTAGGACTTTTAAGTATGGTGTTTAAAGCCTAAATTATAGCGTCACATGAGGTTTGTGAGATTAAAAACGTGTTACCACATTCTGAAATGACTAACTTGTTATGTTAAATAAATCGATGTAAATTAAGTATGTGCTTAAGCTTAGTTTGTTAGTGCGGTGAAAATAAATGGTTTTGCTGCCAAACGCAAGAGATTTTATGCGACAAGCCACCACGCGTTCAGCGCTAATTGGTGAAATGAGACCAAATGCATTTGCACAAGTCCCTGGCATTTTAGTCTCACAATCAGTATGGAAAATATTTCGTACCTCAAGTTTACCAGTGCACTTATATTTGAGTATTCAATTTTTATCAAAATATTTTCAGCTTTCAAAGTTGTTTGGCTGGGTTTCACTATCAACAGCTGCACTTTTTAACATCGTTGTAGCCATACAAAAGACTGCTTGAGCCAGGCTCTTCAGAAGGAAAGCAAAGTCAATCAGGAATGCAAGCAGCCAGCCGACTTAATTGAGTCCGGTGCCAAGGTATCGGATTACTACACAACTTCAGACAAACTTCCCCATCGGTTTAATCAGCCAGGTAGGCAGTTAGGGAATGCAAACAGTCATGTCTAAGATATACTAAATGGATACGGAAAGCATCCGATTAATCCAATGTATGAAACCACGAACTCTGAGTATGGCAAGTACAAGCCAACAGTCCATACGATGCCTGTGGAATTTCATCAAAGGAACGCGACCTTTTCCAAGGTAAAATTATTGTATTTACAGCTTCCCTTTCAGCGTTACGCAGGCACTGGAAATTATCGAAATCACTCACTCAATACTGCAAAAGACCCCAGTTACGTAGATTGACTTCATATTTACATGGAAATAAAACCTTTCCACCCAGAATGTTATCTCATCTTGGTTAGCGAATCAGATAAAAATCAAGCCAACAGCGATAGTGGTCGACATTTAAATACATTTTAATGCATAAAATGTGTGACAATTATACCTAAATTGTGTTTTAAATTAATTGGGTCCTGAACCGCGTGGCGTTTTTTTAAATAAATCACTTCTACAAAAAAGTTTGAGTAACACAGTTATCACTTCGCCATGCAACTTAACGATCAGTAGACAATGGGCGAAAACGATATTTTAAAATCTTGAGTATATACAATAATTTTGCATAATTTTCGTGCTTAAATTTGCACTTATTCCCTTCGTAACCGTAACTAGCATACCAATCGTACACAGTTCATATCCGAAAATGTGTACATAAGTTGTTATTTGAACGAGGCCTTAAATCAGTAATAAAAAGCATAAACTAGGAATTTTGGACATATCAGACAAAAAGAGCACTGGTACCTGATGAAAGCAGAGGGGTGCCATAAGATCCACAACATTGGTCCGCTATAACTGATCACAACTAGTTAAAATCAAACCGCAGGAAGAGATGAGAGGTGACTTTTCCCTACGTCATGACAACGCAAGACTAAGCGTGCCTACAGATACAATTGGGTTGGGAGTTTAAAAATGAGCACCTAGTTTGCATACTTTTTAATGATGCAGCAATACCAAGTTTGAACCATTGTCTAAATGGTTTTAACACTTGCTCCATTAAATTGAACCAGTTGTGCATTTTTAAGATTATTAATTCAACATTAATGTTAGCTAAGATTGACACCAATACTCAGTACTCCCATAAGCATAAGTTACGAATATAATGTTTACATAATATCAATCTGATCATATACAAGAAGAGCGTAAACAATGTACCTAGGTAACCCATTTGAGACATCGAGTGTCATTGTGCACATCGCGACATTTTATGCTGCAATACCGCGTTCCACAAACCACGCACACGTACAACCCAGGGAACCCACAAACGGAGCAGAACTTTCGTGGCGGAAAACGGCTATCGGGCACTGCCGCAGTGAAGTACGAGGCGCCCACCTGCCCTCCTTTGGTATTCTGATACTCCTCATCTAGTAGCAACTCAAATGTTTTTCTAAACTTGGCTCGACCGATGATTGTTCGACGTTTGCGTTTGGTGTGGCCAATGGCGTCATCCTGCAAGTGAAGCAACAAAACGCACCTTGATAGGAGCAGAGTGCTATTAAATTTTCGCCGAAAATTATACATTTATAAAATATTCTGACTTTAACTTGCAGTAGTATAAAAACAGACAATAGGCAGCGCTAAGGCAAACAAGTCGTTCAAGGACAAAGCTGTTCTGCAAGATAACATATGGGGAGACATTGAACTTACATCCTCGAATTTCGGCTTTTTAGTGGTTTTAGTGTCACTCTGAGACTCTTCGACGTGATTGTCCTGCTCAAGAATTTCGAGGGTCTTCCGTAGGCGACGCTTTCGAGCATCATTATCCAGAACACGACGCTGAGCTTCCCGCAGAAAGTCCCTTTTTTCCATCTGTTACGGTGGCAAAAATGAGGATTCGAACATACCTAAGCCAAGTAATATGTGTCTGTTAAACGAAACTAGCACTGAACGTCTGGATTCTATACAAAACACTGAACGACTAAAAAAGTAATGGGAAATTTTTTTGAAAATGTTAGCTCCATTTTGTGGTTCACGTTGGTAATGCTGTCTGAAAACAACAAATCTAAAAAACCACAAGGATAATGGACTGTGAATTGTAGTACGGCTAGCACGTATATGAGGGCTACTTTATCGTGTATCAGTTAACTATTCATTAGAGGTGACAGAATTTCCCAAAATTATGCAGTTATGTAGAATTGGTGCTTCATTGAGCGATTTCATTGCCTCTTATAGAGACCCTGGGGTATTATTAGTGTAAAATAATAGAAAAAAACAACACTTCAATGCCAGGAGGTACATCATATGGATAGTTGCCACTGAATTTAGACCAAGTGACATGTAATCGTGAAAGGTTCAACAGACAGACTGCGAATCGGAACCGTCGCGCACATTACCACTGGAAATTGCAGATGCCTACACACCACACTTTGCGAGCCAATGAAGAGGTTGGGTGTTTGCTTAGTCGTTGGTAGAGACTTGGCTCTAACATATGACGAAAAGCACAAACAGAAGGTGGATCTTTGCTACTTGCTTTCCGTTTACCACACTTTTCAAAGACATTCAAAAAAACGCACAACAAAATCACCTACCGAAAACTCAAATAAACATCAACAATAAGCAATCCTATACTTAAATGTTGCAGAGGCTAGACACCAAAGCATCCTCTAATCAGACCGTAATGAACACACACCATATACCTTAGGTAAAATGTGCCTAGCAATAAATAATCAGATAAAACAGCTACACCAAAAGGTTTTTATGAATGAGGTTACACAAGCTACTTGCAATTCGGTAGGGCAGGTGTTTAGAGGGCCTTAGGGCAATGGTAGTGCGAAATTACTATATTTACTTGTATTGATCTATGTAAGTTAGCATCTACCAAACGTAAAACTGCAGAGGAAATGCTGGAACCAATTACCAAATTTGACTACCTAACCAGTCTGGAGATTTGTTAACACCCCCACAAAACGCGCGGGTTAATCAATAAATTAAAAAGCAGTTATTGGGGTGAATTTTGAGGCTTAAGACATTACGTTAAACAGAATATTTTTTTAATTTTTTTAATTTAGGAAAAGAAAGTAATTATTGTTATATCCTACTTTTCATTTTATTCAGCTAAAGAAGCCGCCAACTTTGTGTTTGTCTGTCTGAACTAGTTTGGGATTACAATGGTTCGTTTGTTAGCTTACTTCAATGTTTAGATATTTTTCTCTTTTTTCAAAGCACTAGTTGGCAAGGATGTCGTTGTTGAACTAAAGAACGACCTTTGGTAGAGTGTCTTTTTATTTTTCACTCACTTTAGTATCCACGGTACTCTACATTCCGTAGACCAATACCACAATTTCCGTCTAACTGACATTACTGTTACAGATCCCGAAAAGCATCCATATATGGTAACACCAATTTGTTTAATTTTAAAAAAATAGCTTTCTGTGAAAAACTGTTTTATCCGTGGCTCCATTGTTCGATACGTCCAGCTTCCGGCCGACGAATGTGATGTTTATGAGCTGCAGAACGCATCCAGAAAGGCGGCTACTATCGGAAAACAGCAGCAACAGCAACAACAACAGCAAGCTGTATAGTGCATCGTTGTAAATAAAATTGTAAACGCTGTTTTGCCTAATAGGCACATGTGGGTTTTTCCGTCGTTTTCGGTTGGTCTGAAGCTCACGGCCCATTGTTGACCATCTTTGCTGTTTTCCTATGGGTAACTTTATCGAGATCCCCCTTATCGCCTTATCCCGTCCGTTCTTTGCGTCCAGTTTGATGACCACAGCGGCTCGCCGAGTGCCGTCACGCAAACGGACGCGTCCCTTGGGCTAACATCAAGTTGTCCCCGCTCAAGTCTCCCCGAATTTCTTATCGGGTGCGATCTTGCCTCAACACTATACTTACTAACTAAACATTAGTAATATGGGCCGGGCGATTTTTCTGAATTTAAAATGACTAGTCACTTATCTCTATATACATTGTTGGTGGTATCGTGGATGCGACAATAGACAGACCAAGATCGGCGTTGGTCTCCTTTCATAGCACGTGATTTTCAAGTTGACGCGTTCGCAGTGTCGACAACAGCTTTCGTCCCCTGGCTGGACTAATGCATTGAAGAGAAGGCTTTCCTACTGAATGCCTGCATTCCTATTGCATAATGTCGGCAGGAAAACTATTTAGAAAAATAGAATCGGGACTTTAATACAATGATCTTTACAGGCTTTCGTCCATGTGTAAGGGTTGGGAATTCAACTGTTCGATTGAAGGAATGGGTTGGGGCCTGCCCTCTCGGATTATATTGCGCCAATTGGGACCAGCCGCCATCGGTTTAGTGGGTCCTCGACCATTATCTGGTAATCCCTCCGCCTCGATTCGCATTGTTTGATCGCAAAGTGAAATTTCGACCTCTTGCGCAAGTGTCGGGAGATAGGTGCGACACCATTCTTTCGAAGCATCGTCAAGGTTTCCTGTGCAGGCTCGAAGAAATACCACCTTGCGACGGGCAGATATAATTTCGGCATTTCTAGGCCTGACCTGTAACAGCATTTTCTCGGCGTCGCACAAAGCCCGGTTCAGAAGCACATCAGGCCTTTTTAGAAGACAATAGAGGTCATCTGTGATGAGTAGGAGTAACTCGTGGGAGCAAGTGAGGCGATTGTGTGCAAGACGCAATTGGAATGAAGCAAGAACCTCTGTAAAGTTGGTAAAATTAATCGGTTTTGTTGGTCCGCTCCTGACAATCTGAGTCGTGTTCGGGTTGTTTTTTTTATCCACTTGACCTTGGAAATAGGAAACCAATTTGATTAGCAGGTCGCAAGCATCCAGGCACATGTCAGACAGATTATCGCCATTGAAGTACCTAAAGGCAAATTAAAAATCCGCCGGAGCGAAATTAGAACACTCGAAATGGGAGCTTTTTACTCCGCGCAACAAATGGATTGAGCATTTAGAGAAGCTGATTTACTGCTACTGTATTCTAGCAATGCCTCCAAAGAGACAACGTTGTAGGGTCTAATGGGGAAAAAACGGTGAGTGAATTACAACATCACGGCCTAGTTTTCAGGTTAATTGCAATACTTCACTAGTGTAGCGTCATCGTGAAGGTCATCCTGATTTGACGTTATGATAAAGACGGTTTGGCATCAGACTAGCTTACCTTGACACAAAGACAAAACCTAATAAGGTCTCCGCTAGTGAGAAGACAACAGACGAATGCGGTTTGGTAGAAAGCAATTTCGACAAGGGTTTGGCCATTATTGTGACTTCTTTAGATTCATTAGTACTTAAAAAGTCATCAGGAAAGGATGTGACGAGGTCCTCTGCGGCTGACTGCCACCACGGCGTCCAAACTGGAACTGCGGAATAGATACTACCCGTCACTAATTGCCGATGAAATTCCCTTTTCTCTTCAATTGATAAAATTTTCCACACTTTGTCGACATCGATAGTCCCAGAAGTTAGGTCGATGTTTTTTATCCTACAATATAAACCGTAGCTGCCTAGTGACTGATACGAATATGGGCAAGAGCCAAAACAGCTGTTAATTTGATAAACGTAATCCTGTTAATACCTAAATGGGTGGTAACATCGTCTTCATGACTCAGTACGTTGCACTGAATAGTATTTTATTGTTAGTGAAAGGCAGTTCCCACTCTCGGCTGTTTGAACTCGAGCTTGGTATAAAACCGACAGCTGAACCGATGTAGTTAAGAAAGAATTACCCGACTGATTCGTAGGATAACACGTAAGGCATCACGCAATTATGTACAAAAATACGACCAATCTTCATCAGTGGTAATTATATCAAAAAAAAACGCTCCAACTTAAAAGCGAAACGGAAAATTGTGATGCCGCGAGGCTAGGAATTTATAAAGCGTATTCATGCCTTTCTGAAAGATCCTCGGGGTCATCTTCGGAGGCACTTTCATCTACACTGCCATCAGACTCATGCGAAATATTGTTGAAGTAGGCCGACTCAGGTTCTTCCAATAGCATCCGTTCGACTTGTTGTCGCTGATCATCACTGACAGTCAAACTGTTTATGGCATTTTCGCAGCACTCGCGATAAAACCTTTCTGAGCATCTCTCATGTCTGCGATCTCTGTAGCATGCGAGGGAACAATAATTGATGCGGCAACGCGGGCACGCGTAATTTGCGGTTTTATTCTGACAAATTTTACATGTTAAGACATTCATAGCTTCAAATTAGTCTGAAGTAGTGTAAAGAGCAGGATGTGGAGTGATGTGTGTGGTGTGGTGTGGCGTCGGATTGGGCGCAGACATGCTGGACCGCCTGGCCTCAGCCAATCCCGTGTCTCTCTGCGATCCAATGGCATGCGGGAAAGGAAGGCAGCCAACCAGAGAA